GCATCCACTTGCATATTAAAGACCTCCATATCTGAACCAGAAGCTGCTGAGTGTTGAAAACATTTCTAAAAACCATTCTGTGAAATGAGTGAGAAACAGACCCTGTGTAAGTGCTGCTGGACATCACTGCCCTTTCTCCTGAGCTGGATGGGAAGCTGACAGGATGGTGGGGAGGCTCCCCTGAGAGCTGGTGTCTCAGGAGCCTCCCTCGGGGTAACTAACGAGCCAGGGCTGCACAGGACTCAGGAAAATTCTGGATTCAGGATGAAGGACTTAAGTGTGAGTGACAGGAAGAGCAGCAAGAGCTCCAAATAGGACTGAGAGGGGCAGCTGAGAAATACTGTGGACTCGTGTGTCTGCTGAGAGGGAAACTGGAGAACTCTTGTTAAGTAAGAGGAATTTGTGGTTCACACACTACAACAAGAGTGAGTTGCACAGAGTATGGGATAGCAGAGATCATCTTATCCAAATACTTGCTCAGGAAAATGTAACTCTAGTAAGGCAAAAGATGGAGTGGGATCAGTTACTGCTCTGAAGGCTTTTCACAGAAAACGTAGGCCAAGCTGTAACTCTTCCCATGACATGAATAATACATTTCTGATTTTCACTTCTGTGTTATTAATATTGCATCTTGTCACAGGCCTGTGCACCAGACAATAACTGCCCAGCTCTCCAAGGAAGAAACAGAAAGAAGCCTTGACCTGAAAAGCCACCACGAAAGTTACTGGAGAGCACAGCTTTTGGTGAAAAACAATCAGCAAGTCAGGACAGAAAGGACATTCCTAAGTGCCCTCTGCTCAGTGACATCATCTGCAAGCGAGGCAGACAATGAGCTCAACAAACCAATACAAAATGTATTTTCTCACAATATGTTACCAGCTCCAAATAAGAGATTTTTTCTGAGCTAAAAAGTCACATTATTTTTTTATGATACAATGAACAGCGAGTGAATCTGATTGAAATGGGTGAGGGAAGGGTGACTGGGGGAGCACTGACACAGCAGCATTACAGTCAAGGTGATCATTCCAATGCTTTTGTACTTCATGTGTAAAGAAGACAAAAATGTTTGGATGATGCCTTTCAGCAAAAGATAAAGATCAAAGGAAAACCCAGGAATTCGAATCACTGGAGGGTGTTGATCGGTCCCTAAATGTACTTGCACAGCTCCACAGCTGAGCAAGGGATGGTGAATACAGGATAATTACTCAATTTTGGCAATAAGGAGTCAGTTCATCTTGCCTGTAGGCATTGCCTACCAGGATACACCAGAATACAGCAGAAAACTCAGTGCAGAAACAGAAAATGTGTTTCATTACTGCATCAACACAACAAAGAGTGTGGGACTGTGGAACTATCACTGTTAATCTCAATTTAGGTACAAGAAGCTCTCAGTGATGGAACTTTCCCTATCCCCCACACCAGGTGGGGAGGCAAAGTCATGTAGATAATCCCAGCAAGGAGGAATGCTGGAATAATAATCATGAAGAAAAATTAAAAACGTAATTTCCAGTCAGAAAAATGAAAGAGGAAAGTGATGGGGAGAAAGGAAACATTTGTTTTCCAGCCATCCAACTAGGCTTTCACAATGAACAGGAGGGGAAAAAAAAAACGGTGTTGGGCAGAATGGTTTATGCAGCTCTAGAGGTGAGGATTCCATGAAGAGGAGAGATTCTGTGCATTAATTGGGAAGCCACAGACATAATGAATGCAGGATGACATTTTGATGCTTCACTTGTCTTCTCCCCTGCCAATCCATCTTTCTGATTTTGCAGTCTGTCACACCTGATGATGTGTTAATCTCTGGGCTGAGAAGATAAATCTGTTTGGGCTCTTTCTGAGAAGCAGGTACCTGTTAAGCACTGCAAAGAGCCTCTCCTAGGAGGGAAGAGCCACTGCAGGTTTGCTGAGAAGAGAATTTATCTAGCAGATAATTCTCAGTGAAACCCTCCATGACTTCCTCCTTACATTTAATGTCTAATTTGCATTTATATATCCTTTATTATCTAAATACCTCAAAATCTCCCAAGTGCTTAACCTAACAAATCCCTAATACAATTCAAGGAGCAGTAGGGCACTTCCATCAGAGCTAATCAGGGATGATGGAATTCCTGTTACTGGAGCTAGAAGGTTGGTACATAGATACTCTGTGTTTTCTACAGGGTGAAAGGAAGGAGATGAGTCCATGAATCACTGATCAGCTGCTACCCCAGACGTGCTCTAGCACAGCTCTTCCTGAGCTCTGAAAAGCATGTTCAGTGCTCTGTGTTGCCTTCTCTTGACCAAACCTTTCATTCCCATCAGTTGCCTGAGGTCCCTTTCCTTTGTGCCATTTTGCTGTGCTCACAGCCAAGGAAGGCTCCCAGTGGGCAGGCAAAATTTTTCCCCATTTATTGTCCTTCCAGAAGAGAAGCAGAATGTTAAGCAGGCAATTTCAAAGGACAGGGGGAGAAAAGAAAGTAAAAAAAAAAAAATTTTAATTGTATAGTAATTAACATGGTGATCATGCCAGTTTGAAAATCACTAACAGAATTTTATGATAGTGAATTTTGTATCCTGCAAGGCTGTGAATAACTGTAATTTAACAGATGCATCCAAAATGTGCATGCATCAAACTAAATCTCTAAAATTATAGCATATGCATGTTCTTAATATAGCTAGTGAGCATGTGTGCCTATGCACACATAGTCAAATATTTACTATGACATATAGAAAAGCACATTTATTCATCAATGCAAACAAATGGATTATATCTACTCCACTTCCTTATACTGTGATTAAAATTCATGCTGGCCAGCTTAGTGAGGTTACAGGTAACATCTTGGCTCCTAAGTAATGCTCCATTTATGAGTCTTCAGATGTCAGAAGAAGCCCTGTGGGGACCAATGTCTTGGATCACAAACCTGTGGGCCCATTCAGCATCTTTGAAGATGCAATTCTTAGTGTACCTGGCTATCAGATGCACTGTAAAACACTGCTGTTGTGATGCGCTTTAGGGTATCCTCACATGCCTACATACATTTTGTCTGTTCTATAACATAAACTTACAGAGCACCTTTTGCAAGAGAAACAAAGTGGGTGATATTATGGCATCACAGAAATCAACCTTCCTTGTTTTATCTCATCCTAATCGAGGGCTGTTTCTGTTGCCAAGTGAGGTCTGGGTTTCCTTGATGTATAAATCAAGAGTGTTTGTTACACTAAAACTGGCATGTAATTGCTTGTCAGCAGTCACCTTGCTTTAAGAAATGTGAAATAAATCAAAGGAAATGTAGAATATTACTGGAAACTGTCTTTGACAATGAACAGGGCTGTGTAAACAGCTGATGAGGTCTGAAAGGGAAATAGATAGCGAAGGGTTTTGGAAGAAATATGTTTAGTTTTAGGCATGCTGAAAATATAAGCTAAAAACATTTGTATTCAATGGAATTCAATCTTTAATCCTTAACCCGGTGTGTTTGGCCCTCTCAGAACCAAAGCACAGCAGAGGGGCCCATTTCCCAGTGCTCCTGTGCCCAGGATGCTCAGCCTGGGCTCTGCCCAAGGAGACTCAGCCTCCTCCTCTGCAGTGGGAAGGTGGCCCAGGCTCTCAAATGGGCTGATCTGCACCAGAGAGCTCCTAGCTCTGGAACTGGAACTGCTCCACACCTGGAGTGTTTTCCACACATCTCTATAACCTGTGCATCACCTCTCCTAGCTAATGGAGGGATTGGGAAGGCATTCCACATTCCCAGCCGAGCTCACAAACATGCAGAGCACGTCATGGCAGCTCTTTAACACCTCTCCCCTTCAGGCTGCTCCTTCAAAGTGCTGCTTCATCTGAAAGAGACACCCTTCCCACAGGTACTTGTAGGTACTCCTTGAAATTTAATAGCAGCAAGTGATGGCAAAGAGGAAGGAGTATAAGAAGTGTAAGTAAATAAGGGCTATAGAAAGAGCAGGAGAAAGAAACCACATACTGTGAAAAGGACTTGATGAAAGGTGGAGAAGGACAAGTAGGAGAGAAGGTGAAATGGGGGAAAATGGGGATACAGAAAAAAAGAGAAATAAAAAAGGCTGAGAGACCTCCTTCCATTATCAGCAGGGTAATATTATGCCTGATAACTTCCTTTAGTGAATGACTTCATTTCTATAAACCATGGGCCAGACTGCAGAGCTGGGAAGTTGATGGAATGAACCAAAACTGAGATTTCTTGCCCTATACTCAGCAGGTTTAAAAAGAAGGATTTTTCTATCACAAGAACATCAAAACTGCTTTTTCTTTCTTATTTTTTTTAGGGAGCAATGGAAAAAGGACAAAAAACGTGAACTTTCACCACCCTCATGACTGGAAAACTCAATGTTACAAAACTAGGTTCCCATGTTAAAAGATAATGTTAAAAAGTTTAAATTTTGCCTTGACCATCCTAGAGCCAGGCTCTGTATCAAACCATATCTGGATTAGTCCTGCCCTTCCCAGGCACATCCATTTATGCCACGCAAAGCCTGCAGATCTCTAGACTCCACAAAAGAGATAATTTTCAGGTACAGAGCTGCAGTTCAGTTGCTTAGTCACACTCCACATTCTCTTGGCAAAACCTCCTTCCAAACAAGGGCTAAATAATGGGAATTTACTGAGTCATTCCAGTCCCACCTATGGATTGTCATCACCCACTGCTCTTGGATTATGCAACTGCAGCAACCCTGTGGAACTCCTCTGTTGGAAAATGCTGATTTGTTGCAAGTGAATCACAGGGGATAGTCAATGAAAAGTAATCTTTCCAGGGAACATCATTCCCAGCTATTCTGCTACTGACTCCAGAGGGCTGCCAGACCCTTGAAAGCTCCCCCACGCAGCACTGGAAACAATGTGGGAATGGGGCTGGAAGGTTTCCCTGCCACTTTCTCTCCCTTCTGGATGTGCAGGGTTTTCATCTCCTACCAAGCTCAGTATTCTCAACCTCCCGGGGAAAAGACTGCATCTCAAAACAACAGCATTTTCTTCCGATTTTTGTTGTTTCTAGAAAGAAAAGTCCACCCCCGAGACAAGCTACACATGATTTTTAATACACCCTTTAAATCAGGTATAGTTTTGAAACTCTAACACTAGCTTTTTATTTCTGTTACCCTTCCTAACAGTGTATTTCTCATCCTATAAAGTGTCAGTGTGAGATGACCCCCTCACCCACCTTGTCATGACTGTACAGTTAAAGCAGCTTGCAGCAGTCCCTCCTGTGCAGACACCCAGCATTGTTTCTATCAGTGCCTCTGCTTTGCCAGGTGATTCTGCACAAAAACATTGTCACTCTCCTGACTAATGACTTGCACACACAAAACCCTCCATACACTACAAGCTTTGCAAGACTACTGATTTTATTTCTCTGTTCATTAAAGAACACATTTTCCCCCCATTTCATGCATTTTAAAGCATCTCTCTAACGAGTTCACATACTAGGCATTAATATTTCTTTCAACACTTTTCCATTAGCTGTGTCAAACTGAATCTCATGTCATTTGTCATGCTGCACTGAGGGGCTGATAATTAAGAAATCCATTGCTGCTGTTGCTGTAGTGATGGGCACAGCTGTACAGGAGTATTTAGTTGTGCCTCTGTGGTGTTTGTGGCTCAGCCTGGGAGCCATGAGTGTGTGCAGGGTGCTATGTGTGCACTGTGAGATGTCTCTGTGTGCTGCCGTGCATTACAAATGTTCTGTCTGGGCACACCCCATGCATAATTCAGCCTGTGCTTCATCATGCATTTTCCTGGAGTGCCAGCCCAGCTTGTGAGGAGGAGAAGGGGAGTCAACAGCTTGTGGTGCCCTGTTGCTCCCTGAGATTTAGCATGCAAAGCACTTGCCTTTGCAGAATCACAAACATTTCCACAGCACAGACCTCTCTGGGCAGGTTTAAATATTGCACAGCCTAAGCCAAACATCCTGACACAAAACCTTTGCAGTCCCTGGCTTCTTCAATTTTTTAGCATAACTTTTTTTTTTCTCCTCAGAGACCACAAGGTTAACACACCAGTTAGCTCTGTGCTCTCTCCTCTCACAGGCAGTTCTACCTGGCTGGTCAACTGTCCTGCTCTGGGAATGTTTGCCATGGAAAGCAATAAATTTTTTTTTTAATAAAAACACAGGGAGTACAGGAGGGGCTCACAGGGAGGCAGGGGCTGAGGGACAGCCCTAACCCCAACAGAGGAGCTCTGGAGCTGGGCAGGGAATGGGACAGCAGAGGGAAGTGTTTGAGAGACCACAGGGAACAGCTAAGGGCCTTGAAGTGTTCCACTGCTCACTCCAGGGTGGAATTTCCTTGTCATTCTTAACCACCCACAGTGCTTAGAGAAGCATCTTCTGCAGAGAGAACATTCCCTCTCTAGAATGTCATCATCCTGAATGTGACCTTGTAGAAAGAAGCTACCTATTGATTTTTCACACCCTTTCCCCAGTTTTATCTTCAGTCTGTGGAGAAACACACTGCACTCCTCTCTGCATAGAAAGTTCACTTGTTTTCAGAGGGATCAACTATTCACAAATGTTAAAATTAGAAGCTAGGTTTGCTTATGGAAATTGCTTTTGCCCAGTGAAGCTGTGGCTGCCCCATCCCTGGAGGTGTCCAAAGCCAGGCTTGATGGAGCTCTGAGCAACCTGGGATAGGGGAAGTTGTCCCTGCCCACAGCAGAAGGTTGGAATGAGATGGTCTTTAAGGAACCTTCCAACCCAAACCATCTATTATTCTGCGCTACAAAGGAAAAATTTGGTGTTTGCTACACAGCTGATAATTTTAATAGAAATTCAGTTCTTCTCTTTTCTCCCTTTAATTGATCTGCTTTCTGACTTAAATAAAGAATTAGAGGAGCAGTGCAGTATAGTAAAATCTGTAACCCAATAAATGAAGCAATTAATTTAGAAGCTTTTAACAACTGCGTGTGTCTACACGTGGGGCTATTCTGGTTGCTGGTGGCTCCCCCAGCTCCAAGCAAGCACGGTTTGTTCCCTCAGGCTGATGGATCCTGGCAGCACTGGGCCACCTTGTTCATCTGCATAATGGTAAATGACAGCCCCTCTATTGCTCACCGGTCACACACCAGTGTGCCTTATCTGTGCTGCCATCCAGCACCAGGGGTAGTGAGGATTCCACCTTTTCTGCATCAGGAAGGCCAATTAACCAACTAATCAGAGTAGGCCGGGACATGAGAAATGCCCTTACCTGAGACAGGTAGAAGACAGAACAGATTCACTTTGCAAATCGGGAAAAAACCCAAATCAGTGAAATTTCTTTTTTTGCAAGAAGAATTCTGACATTTGTGCCTTTTTAAAAAAAAAAATTCTGTGAGCTCTTTTGTACACAGAGACCAGCTGGATTCTAAAATCACTATTCTCAAAAAAACCCCAACCAAACAAACCAATACCACCATCCTCCTCACAGTTCTAAATTTATTAACATGTTATCCAGGAAGATCTCAGTAAGCTTCACAAATCAGGTCTGGCTGCCACATGCCCTCCATTACGGACCTCACTAATATCTTTAAATCACCAGCGACACAGGTAACTTGATAATGTTCCTTCTGATTTACACTATTGCAAAATTGAAAAGTTTGCCCTTTCAAGTAATTTATTTCCCCTTTTATTGCAGCTCCAGATCCAATCCATGATTTTCTCTGGCTTCCAGTAGAATGACCCATGTGTGAAAAATATCTCCCTTCCTCTGTCAATAAACTCCAGTTTATATTTATCATATTTTTTCACGTGTCCAATTCAAAGTATTTTTTTACATTTACATTCTTTGTACAAAGAGTTTGTGACATTATTTAAAAGAAAGCAATATCAGAATTTAATAAAAAATTTAAAAAGCATTTTGCATATTCACACTGGATATGTGATGCTGTTGATTTAAAAGGAATGTTTCCAAGGACTTGTAAGAGTTACACTAAAGACATTCAATTAACACAATAAATATCACCTCAAATTGTTACATGTATCTTTTGTGACCTGATATCCATTTCTCACACTGCAATATTTATTCTGCTGGGAAAAAAAAAACCAAAACCCTTTAAAACATAGATTTATGAAGGAAAATGTAAACAAGTAAGGCCCAAACTGACAATGGTCCTTTGAGCATCCTGTTACTGGACTGAATTTTGTTGATCTCAAGCCTGGGATGTGTCAGTCGCTTCAGTGAACTTAAGGAAGTTTTATTGGTATAAAACTGGCATAGGATAAAGGCCAGTCTGTTTATTTTTAAAGAGTGAAGTGAGATTATTTACTACTCAGTTCACAGGCTGAAAGTGCATTTTGCAGTATTTATCCACTGGGAGAAACAGAAAAAAGGGACCACCCTAACTTCCCCAAAATAATACTCTGCAATTGGGGACAGCTTAGCAACTGCACCAATACCAGATTTAAATTCCACCAGGATTTGGCTGTTCAAAGTTTGGGCTGACTGTCACTTGGGGCTGGATGCTGAGAGGTGCTGAGCAAAGAGCAAGATCCTTCCAGGAATGGGCCATAAGTACTGCATCCCAAAATTTAACCACAAGCTCCCATCCAGAAGTGGGAAGATACCAAATCAAGTCACAGGAAGATTTGTAAATCTCACTCTGTATTTTTTTTCTTTAAATATTCCTTTAAAATATTTCTTGGTCACTGAGGCTATGAAAATTCCATTCATTTCTCCATGCTGTTGCCCACTTAATGAGGTAAAGAAACATTTTACTATTCCCCTCTGATAAGTACACAAGCACCAAAGCCCAGAGTTGAACAGTGAAACAAATAGTAAATTATTTCAATCCTCTTAACACCCTGCTTTTTTGGCAGATAATGCCATAAGTCATTTTAGCTTAGCAGCCACAGATTGAAGACAGATTTATTTTTAAACTTTGGAAATGTTAAAATTGAATGAATTAATGGAAGAAATTTTTACCCAAACAGGGAAAAATAAAATAAGAACTTTTCAAATATTATACTGGCTATCAGATCATTTTTATGTTTTTTTTTTTTTTTTTTGCCATGAGTCTGAATACTAATTTTTTTGGGAGGACAACTTTCCCCTGTCCAATCCAAAGCCAGACAAGTCCCATGAATCCCAGTAAACTGAAATAACCTTTTCCTCCAAACTCCTTCCCCAAAATTCTTGGAGGGCTGCCTGTGGTTGAACTGGAATGCATCTTGGAAGTGTTTGAATTAAGTGCAGCCTTCCCAAAAGCCAGTTTGGCTTCCTGCAGAGGTGTCAAGGATAAAAAGGGGATTGTAGTGGCCAGAGCATTGTTGTTGGGAGTTCATAGGGAGCTGAGTTCACTGGAATACTCATCAAAGTTCCTCAGGGCTGCTCCCTTCCACATGGGCAGAGAGTGGCTCTGAGGGCAGCTGAAATACCTTCTAGAAGTGCTGCAGGACACATCTGCTGTTTGGCCCACCTGCAGGGAACAGCTTCACTTAAGAGCATCACCTGCACCAGGTGACCACAGAGTTTCACCCAAAGCACCGAAGCAGCAGCCCTGGAGGTATGAGAAGCTCTACTACTGTAAAGGATCAGCACCTTGTTAATTTGGCTCTGCAACATGAATATGTATAATTCTGTGCCTCCATGAATTTTTCAGGTACACTGTTAATATTAATTTTTGATTGGATGTGGAAGTGTCAACTCCCAATTAATAACATGTGCCAAAATGGGAGATAATAAATGTAGGAAAGCAAGTTAGTATGCATCAGGTGCTTGCATTTTCCATTTACAAGAACAGATTTATAATTTAAAAAAATTGTTTTCATTACACTTTTTGAGGAGAAAAAGGAATTTCATACCTTAAGGCTGTATATTCTCTGGCTGCAAGCTGAGGAACCACATGAGTTACACCTTCCTTGACACCTGGGGCTGCAAAAACATGGCCCAGGGGAGCCAGAAAAATCCTAGAGGAGCTGAGTGCAAGAGCTCAGGATGTCAGTGTTATGCTGAGATTTAAGGGTGGCTCTGACCCATGAGCATGGGTAACAAAAGTCCCACTGACTCCAATTAGAGGAGGCTTGGGTCTATTTACTGTAACCGAGTCTGTAACAGAAAAATAATTAATTCCTTGTCATGTCTCATGTGTATTGATTTTTGTAATTACAATGGAATTGGAGGCAAGGGTGCAGGGGGAAGGAAAAGCACTTGACTTGTGTTTAATTTGATGCACAAGCTGTCAGGGACAGAGCAATTGAGGTGCCATGGCCATGCCCATCCTAGGTGCTCTCAGTGCTCAGATGTCACATGCCAGACATGCAGGATCCCAAATCACACCCTACTCTGACATGATGCACTGCACGGAGCTGGCTGCTGCAGCAGCCTGCACAGCAGGCAGGAGAGATGCCCAGGGGGAAGAAGATAAGGACAGAACAAGCTCCATGTGTATCAGTGGCTAAGAGGAGGAGACAAAGCAGTAGGATGGGAGAGAAAGAAAATACAAGTTGCTGCTGATAATAGAGCTGCCAGGAGATAATGAAAGGAAAAACAAGGAGTGAGAGAAAAGAAAATACAATATGGCCTCACTTGGTAATGGTGCTGCTAAGAAAAGCCAGCAGGAGGGAATCAGCTTTGTTTCCCATATGATTTCACTAAAATGGCAAGTAGGGAGTTTTTACCCAGAGGCAAATCAGCATTTGGCTTCTTAACAGGTGACAGTCTCCATTCCCGAGCATGTCTGTGGGAGGGGCTGGCCTGGTTCCACACACCCAGACCTGACTGTAACACCGGGTTTGTGCAGTGTCACAGATCAGTTTGTCACAAAGATATTGACATCACCCACACAGACACAGAGCCACATTTTGGGCTCCCTAAAGCCAAGGCCTGCCCTGACTTCTGCAGGACCACAAGAAGCTGTTTCCAGCCTTTTGCCTAAAAGTACCAGTTCAGGAAGTCTCCAAGTCTCATAGAAGCAAAAAAGTTTTTCCTTATACAATAGCCCTGCAAATGAGAGCTGCAAAACAGTCTCACATCCAAACACTAGAAAGAAATGATATATGTGAGGGAGAGGCAGAGCTTAGGGGTATAAATCAGTCCTGAGTTAAGCATTTTCAGCTAACCCTGTGATATTTTAAACAAAACAAAACAAAACAGCCTCCAGGACAGAGAACTACTCTGCATCCAATTTGTGCAGTTTCTAAAACCTGTTGCCTAAAACAACAGCACTCAAAGGCAAATTTTCTCCTGGTGCCCTACACACACCACAAGAGAGGAAGCTGCTAACTCATACTTTGAGAAAAGCCAACAAAATGGGAGAGGCTGTGGCAGTGTGCTGGCAACACTCAGTGTCACGATATCCTCCCTGGCTGGGAAAGAGCTCTGAGCAGAGTCAGAGCACAACAAATTGTGAGGCACTAATAAATAACCAAACAGCACTGATGGATGACAGCAGATCTGACTCCAGCAGAATTATTGGTGAGAATACTGAAAATTCTTTCCCTCTTAATATATTAAAGTCTTTGTTTGGGGCTGAGTTGATGCTGCCAAAAAAGCCTTTTAACACAGGCAGCATAAATTTCAGTGGGTGTTTGAAGTAGGAGAGGCTGGCTTGTTGAAAAAGCAGCCCTCAGAAAGGCTGCAGCCTGCAGAAAACACATCAACTCTGCTCAGCTGGGAAATAATTTGATCTATTTTATATCATCTACCCAGTCACTGAGGAGGCAAATATGGGAATGAAATATGGACACAGAGCAAAACATAAAAAGAGACTTAATAAAATGAGTAATTATGTTTTCCCTAAAGCCTCTCATGCAAGCAGGAGGCACATACCATCATCAATTCAGCACGGTGCCCGTTTCAGAGTGTGGGAAAAGGAAAAGCCCTGGAGCCAGGCCCTGTGAGCACATCCCTGCCAGGAGGGATGGGCAGCCAGGCTGGGGAGCTGCCACTGTGGCCAGAGGCAGGGGGGACAGGGAGCTGGAGCTGCTCTGTGCCAGGACCCAACCCTGGGTAGAGAGGGGACTGGTGAAAGAGTCAAATGTGACTATCCCCACCCAGAACCCTTCAAAATTCAGCTCAAGTCCTCAGTGACAAATTTCCAGTGCTTTATGCTATTCCTCAGTACCTCAATCAATTAAAAATAAAAAATAAAGGGAAAAAAAGAAGGAAGGACACAACCAAATAGAATAGAGTGCCCAAGAATCCAGGAAAAGCCAGTGTTAGAAGCGCTAACTGATTATTCTTCGGCATTTTAAATTCCAGTGTTTAAATTCCAGTTCACAAGCTTGATAAACTCATGATCATACAGCACCAAACATAAAAATACGTGTACTTTTTACACCCACAAGATGCCCACAACACCAAAACGTTCTAGCTTGTTTATAAAGATGATTTAAAAAAGATGAATAGAAAACTGGAAATGCAAACATTTTTATTTTCCCAAACTATTGTAGGCTTCTGGCTATTCAGCCCTTATCCTAACTTATTCTCTGTCTACTTCATAGGAGATGACATGACAACACTGATTAACTCGCATCCAGTGCTAGAACTCAAGCTGTAACACAGGCACAGAAACATTGGGACTGTGGACACAGACAAGGAATGAGAACTGATGTCAAGGACACATGTTTGAGCAAGAGCAGAAAAAAATGAAAGCAGACATGACACAGTGGGCTGTGAAGAATTACACTTGGATATGAACCCTGCTGAAAACAAGTCCCCCCTCCATGTGGAAGTTCGACTGTGCCTAGGTCTTCCTACAGGAAAATCAGGTACAAGTGCAGTTCTCTGAGCCTTCTCCACTGAAGAAGAACTGAACTGCCACCAGCTCCACTTGGAACAAGAATGAACCCCCAGGCCTAAGGACCAAAACATGCATTTCAAAATGTCATATGTAGATGCAGTGCATAAAATCAAACAGAGGCAATCCAGCAAAGCAATGTAGACTATAAAGCCCTGTTATTGTAAAAAAGCTCATTGTTTCCCACAGAAATCTGTCCTGATGGATGCCACCAGGACCTGGGGGCAGCATGCTAAGGAGATATCTCTTTTTCCTTTCAATAAGAACTGTGTTTTGCTTCTGTGCAGCTATGGCACAGGGGAGGGAAGGGCACACTCTGCTGGTCACAGCACCTTTTACACCGACAGCTTTTGAACACCCTGGGTGCTGAAATATAACCCTCATGCCACAACATCTGCACCGAGGTGGTGCCCACACCAGGCTGCTCTTGGCTCCTCTCACCCTGAGTGTCAGTGTGGGTGGCTCTGATGCTGTCACTGAGTGCTCTCATGCTTAAACATCAGCCTACCTGCTGCCAGAGCTCCTTCTCTCCTGAAGGACAATTTTAGCAGTGTAACATGTGTTCAAAAACTCTTTACCTTAGGCTTTTCATCCAGTATTTGCTGGCGAATCTCCTTGTGTTTTTCTACAAGTTTCTCCTGCCTTTTACTCTGAGCATCTTCTAGCTGTCAGAAAAGAGCAGAGAATCTTTTTTCATGGATTGCACACCCTCACTCTCCCACCTCCTCCCCAACAAACATTCCACCCATCAAAACTGAAACACTGTCATCAAAACTATGAACAATTCCAATCTAAAATTACATAAATTACACACCACTGCCTGAGCATCCCTGAGCACAACTGTTCAACAGTCAGGTGTGGATATGAAACATCAGATTTCACAGGTAAGATTCAGGATCAGAAACATCTAAAGGACTTACTGCAGACTCCTGATGTTATTAAATGATAAATTTTGGGTTTCACTTAATAATGCCCCCAGAAATAAAACCTACTTAATTTGCTAATTGTTTAGGCTGCTTCCTAAATCAAGGCTCTGCTAAGCAAAAATGGGCCAACTTTAGAACCTAACAATCTTTACATTGAAATTAAGAGAAGAATTCAAAGGCTGCACACATTCCATAGTGATTTTACACCCCAAAGCACTGCAGTGCATGATTTCAGTCTGGTGTGAACCACCTGTAGCTTCAGAAAAGCTAACAACTGTAATAGAATTCTTTAATTTGTGTTTACAGAACTCACAGAAGCTTTTTACATTTCAGTAACTATACAAATGCAATTAAAGTTAAGATATACCTGTAATTAAATGTTCATTGACTTTCCTTATGCAATCTTTGCATTTGTGAGCCAGCAAGCCCATTTAAAAAATGGGTGCATTTTCCATGGATTCACACAGGATATTCAAACATGAAATTGTATTAAAATCTTCCCTCCTCAGCACCATCCCCCAAATGCTGACTAACAATTAATGAGAAGGTGTCTGAAATCCCAGCTTTCTTTTAACTGGAATGTGAAGCAGAGCCTACCCTGCACCTGCTAAAAGTCAGCAGGCGCAGAATCTTTATGCTGAAGCCTAGAACCTGCAGTAGATTATAAGCTAAAAGGGGAAAGGTGACATTTCATGGCCCCAGATGCAGCAGAAGCTTGACATACCCTCTTTATGTACTGCACCACCTCCTGGATGTAGGACCGGATCATTTCCGTCTTCTCCCTGGGGGAAGCATTCCAGCAGTTATTGGAGTCAGCAAGGGCACACTGATGGATTTCACCTCCCTGCAGCTCTCTGCCTAACCATGGCCATGTTTAAGGACCTGCCTAATTAACTTTTTTGCACTCCCTGAATGTATCCTCGTGCCAGGTTGCACCTTTATGGCACCAAGGGCTCAGAATTCCCCATGACCTGCACACCACCCCCCTGCTCCTCCCCAGCAGGCTTTCCCCACGAGATGATGCCCTGTCTCCCGGGTGCTGCTGGTGCTCCCAGAGTCCCCAGTGTCCCTGGGAGCTGCAGAGCTGCGAGCAGAGGCACAGTGCCACGCTGTGGCAGAGGAGCAGCCTCTGCCAGGGCAGGCACTGCTGCTGACACCGGGCACCAAGCTCCCAGGGGAGCAGGGCAGGCATGGCCTGGCCCCACACAGAGCTGGACTCGGGGCAAACTGAGCTTTATGGCACACTCAGAGTTATTTGGTAACCATCAGTCAAAGGCTGAAAACAAGAACACCCAGAGGGGTAAATTACAACAACAATTTGTGGCTACTACAGTTGATCTGTTTCAGGACAGTTACTCCAAATCCTGATTGCCTCAGCCAAGACCAGTAAACTGCTCTACTCCTCAGGTGGCACTAAAATCAGGAGGATTTAGGCAAGCCATGGGTGGGTGTCAAAAAAATTAAATAAAAACAATTAAAACGGTGAATCTGTGTAATATTCCTTCCCAAATGTATGCAAAAGCTTTAGATCAACTGCAGTGGAGCCAGAGTGACTCAAAAGGGAATCACCAGAAGGAAGGTCTCACACCTCTCTGCCCTACTCCCAAAGTGAGGACAAGCTGTGTCACAGACAGGGGAAAGCTGACTTTCAATAGGGCTCCTCTCTCACCTCTCTCAAGGACTCTTTGAAAAGCCTGACAGAGGAAAGTCCTTGGGAAAAATGAGAAAAAAAAATGAAGGGGAACGAGAAAAGAACTGCTAACTTGTCTGTCCCTAAGCCTTTCTCACTAGTGCCTCTCAGTAAATCATTTCCCACTGCAATTGATTTTTACTGCTGCAGCATTTCTGTAATAGCCAGCTGCTTTTTTCTAATATTAATTCCATGCCCTCTGAACAGCTCTATGTTAAGTATTTCTCCCTCTTTTTCATAATAAATTATTATAATCTATTTTTAATAGGATGTTTTTTGAAATTTTTAATGTGCTGATTCTGAAACTACCTGAAACACTTCACTGTGTGTGTCTGTGATTTCCTTTCAGGGTTAACAAATACAGATTCTCTCTTCGGAAGCTCCAAAACCTGTGTAAACCCTTTCACCTGCAGAAAACCTAACACAGTTGTACCTTTGTTACATGGTAAAACTCAAACATTAGAGGGTTTCTTTTTTTTGTTTTGGTTGCTCCTCTTGTATTTTTAACTGCTCTAAAGTAAAGACTGGTAACAAGAATAGCAGTGCAAGATTAAAATGCTCCATTTTCTTTTTGAGCTGCTTGCCAAAACAAATGAAGGAGTACAAACAAACCTAGGTACTGTGCCCATGGGAAGAACACAATCAGCTTGCACAACTGCAGTTTGTGCTGTCTGGGGGTGCATAAATGGAATTAGGATTGCTGTGCCTGCCTAGGGACACTGCACCCTGGGAGCTCAGCTTTCCCTCATGTCCCCCCAGGTGTCACTGTCACTGGTGGAGGGTCATGGGCACAGCTTGAGGGGAGTTCATCCCAAAAGCAGAGTGAACCTCCCAGTGTGGTGCAGCCATTTCTTCTGGAGAGCAGTTTGAATAGAGTGAAGAAGACAAGAGAACTCACAAATACAAACCCAAGTCAGAATGAAAGCCCAGCCTGCAGGAGCAGGTGAGACTATTTGCACTCAGATGAACAGTGCCTGGATGAACAGCTTTTTGGGGAACTGCTCCATGAGGTGCTCCCAGGAACAAACCCCTCCACAGAGCAGCACCTCTGCTGCTGGCCCAGGCTTGTCCTGCTCACAGAACAGGAGATTGGATTAGCCCCAGGAAATCAAATTATTATCAGGGAAAGGACTCTGGGGAGGTCTGACTGAAGGCTGCCTTGGATTTAGGGTCAAGACCTTCCTTTGATTTACCAGGTGTGAAAAATCTTGTACAGTGATATGTATCTAGGGATATACTTACTCTTCCATTTGATTTTTATCCTTGGACTTTGCTTCTGTGATCTTCTCCTGCCTCTTCTTGTCCATTTTTTTCTTCAGTTCTTTCTTTTCTCTAAAACATTAAAAATAAAGGGAAGTACAAAAAGTATCTAAACAAATCCTACAAGGAGCAGCAATCAATGGTAAAGGGAACAGCACTTACTTCTCACATGTTTCTTTCAGTTTCTTTAGCTGGTTGTTCTGACACTCCTCTGCTACATCTGTCAGCTTCTGAATTAGCTATTAAAAAAAAATCCCAAAAATAAAAACATGTATTTTCAGCTAAACATCATAGAGGCAGCTAAATTTCCTCAAAAGTCTGCAGCAGACACAAAAGTGTTATGCCATTCCCAGATGAAGTACCAACGATCAAAAGCCAGTAAACATCATTATCAGTGTAAACACATTATTAACTTGTGGAGTTCAGCCAGAATGGTGCACATCCAACTCACACAGAAACTGCTGCTTCTCTGTACATCAAGGTGATACACTTTCACAATATTAAATGTAAACCCAAAATATATTTCAAGTATTTTACCTTTGCTAGGAATGAAAACACCTGTGAAAAAATGTAATGGGTCACAAATTGAATTTATACAATGCTAATTGCCAACTGAATGCCTGTGTCACTGAACATCCAGGTTTTAATGTAAGGGCTGAAAATGTTCCTCCTGTAATGAGGATTATTACACGGAATGTTTTGGATTTTGGGGTGGTCAGGGGGATGTTGAAAATCAGGCATGACAGCTGTGAAAGCCAAGCACAGAGAAGCATAACCTGAATTTTGGTCACAGAAAGAAAAAGCTCTGAGTCACTGGTTTGAAATCTGTTGTGGATTCATTCTCCTTGGTGCCCAAACCAGTAACAAAAGGCATGGCTGTGGTGGGATGCTGACAGGAGAGGAGTCGTGGGTGCCAGTTCAAGGAACAGGGAATAAAGTGAGAAAAGGGACCCATTTGGTTTGATCACCCTTCTAGGTTAAGTCTGATTTTGTAAAATCACCTTCTCAAGGTGATAAACCAGGAGTGTATAACAAGGCATAGCTGGTCTGCTCCAACTTTTCATTCCTTAGATAAAAGTAGAAAGGTACCAACAATAGGCTTCCTTCTAAAAGCAAGCCATCAGAAAGAATCTCTCAGCTGAAAGGCAAGTTTGAATTGGAATATTAACTCCTGCACAACTCAGAGGGAAAACTGTACAAAAGTTCTGTGCTAAAAAATGAATGTATTGTGCCACCACCTAATAGGATAATGCCAAAAATGTAACTTTTCTTTGAGAAATGCCATTTCCCAATTTGGAATGAGAAACGAGTTACCTCATGAGCTAAGCCCAACTATGTGGGTCTAGAATGGTTCTTTTTTATAAAAATTCAAATGTCTGAGAAGCAGCCACCAGCTGTTACTGGGATGGGGACTGTCCCCCTGTGGTGCAGGTCACTGTGCCCATACACTCCCCCTGGAGCAGCTGTGACTCACACAGGGATGGGGATAAACATTACAGCTCTGTGCTGTGATCATGGAGATTAATCTGTGCAGGGGCATTGCTGAGCAGTACCCACACACAAATCACTCTTCTTCCCTGCTCTTCTCGGCTGGCAGGGCAGAGGAGACAAATCACTTCATCCAACAGGAGTGAGGCCAAACATCAGGTAATAGAAAAAATTGCAAGAGGGGGTTGTCTGGAGTTGAGAAACAGCTTGTACTCCCATAACACCCTTTAAAATGTTCATTTCTGCCTAATATCCATTAGCATCAGCTTCTATCTGCCCAACTCCTCTATTTCAGCTCAGAGGGCCTATGATCCTGCTGCAGTTGTCAGCCAAACTCCAGCTGTAAAAACAAAGCTGACTTGGACCAATGAATGCAAAATATTTCTTCAGCATATACAGAATATGTCCTGCATCCCCTCAAAGTGTTCATCTGCCACAGGAACACTCTTTGGCACAACCCTCTGTGCTGGGGAATGCTTGAATCTATTTTCATGCTGTTTCAATTTATTTTCTGGCTAATTCTGCTTCCTTGTGCATTGCAGGCTTGAAAAAATGGCAGAACAAAACAGGAACATCATCCAAAAGCTGCAGTAAAATGAGAGTTATGTAACCAGAGGTATCAACAATCCTGTTGCCTTTGTGCCTTCCACCCAAAGCCTTCCAAGCTGTTGGAAGCGTCAGTGACCAAGTGACACAAGAGCCTCTTGAAGCTGCAGCAGAGCAGAGGGAAGTGGAGCTCTGGAAGGGACCCCAAGTACAAGAAAGCCCCAGGTGATCAGAATTTGTCCTGGTGCCACCAGTGCTCACTCTGAGCTCGACACCACAAACCTACCAGCTTGATGTGCTCCCGTTTCTGGTACTTCTCACTGTAATACTGCTCCTGCCTGAGGTTCAGCAGCTGCTGCTGCTGCTTCTCCTTCAGCTCCACCAGCTTCTGGGTCATCTCAGAGTCAAGTGCAGCCAGCTCCTGCTCAATGGTGGAAGAGCTGTGGTCGGGGCTACTCGTCTCAGACCTGCAAGGACACAGCACACCCCAAGGGGTCTTGGTCACCAGGCATCCACACCCTGTCTTCATTTGCTTAAAAATTTGCCTTTTGAAGTCAGATATTTATAAGTAGCCTGTTAATAAGTTTCTCAGCACCACACACAGAGCAATAGGATAGGTAATTTTATCTCTAGTAAGTTCAAGGATTTAGTTTAAAAGAAATTATTAAGATTTATTAATGGGACGGCTACAGCTTTTAAACCTCATTTCACTGATCCACCAGGGTGGTGGCAACCAGACTTGGTATAAGTGAGCTATAAAGGCAACTGCCAAGACTTCCCATAGAGCTTGTTTATACACTTCCAGACATAACTTGAACTTCAAAGCTGCAGAGCCTTCAGGAGAAAGGGTGAATCCTGAGTATTTTGGAAACAAAGTCATCCCTGCATGCACTCAGCAATAAATTAAAAAGCTTAACATTACATCTGCATTTATCAAATGCTTCACACGGTAGGAACATCCCTTTATTTGGTGTTTTCTTCCCCCTTCAGGAAATGACATGCATAGCACACAGAGGAAAGTGCTCCATGGGCTGCTGGCTTCAGAAGAGAAGCTCACACCCCAGAGTGAGCAAACCTCAGACAGGCAGCTCTCAGGAGCAAGGGAAAAAACACAATAAGGAAGCTAAAAAGCAACACTAAGCAACAGTTTGGGTCTGTTTTACTCTTTCTTAAGACAGAAGGAAGGATAGATGTAACTGTGAAAATATATATAGTGACATTAAACTGCCTAAGAGAAAAATAAGCAGCAAATCCAGTATCACTCTTCAGGCCAGCACTAAACTAAACCCAAGGAAAATACATTAAAAAAAATAAGATTATGCTGTGTCCCTGCTCTGCTGCTGTGTTTACTGCCATGCTCAGGTGCTAAATCAGTTGCCTGGGAAACGTCAGAACGGTGCAGGAGATGGACGAAACAACAAAACCTTGAACAGGGAGGGCTAATGTGGGGAGAAAAATGAGTTTGCTCCTCAGAAATGTGCTGAGATTACAATGCAGAGAACTGGCTCTGCCTCTCTTCTCTCTCCCAGGTTCAAGTGTGCAGCTGCTGTCACTTAAGAGTTACTTCACCTGAAATAATGTGATCCTGCTTTCATCCCTCCGAGGACACGAATGCCAAGGTAGCCTCCTTTTATTTCTTGTGTTTTTATTGTATTTGAATATTTTGCTAAGAGGTTAAGTGATGGGTGAAGGTAATTTAAACATTACAGAGCCAGAAGACAGCAGTAATGAATATTACAGTCAGCATATTATGCCATTAGACAATATAAAGCTGACATTTCTCATGTATTTTTGGGGAAAAGAAATCCTAAAAAAGGCCTATTTCTAAACACTGGCTAAAATACTGGCTGCTTTTTATGGGATGTGATCATTAAAGAAACTTCAGAGCAACACCAACAAAACACTTGTGCACGTGTATAAATAAATATTTCAAACTTCCTGTAGACAAGGGCTTTACTGAATCTTGCCTCAATTTTAGACAAGGGAAAAAAGCAGAGATTGCTCCTGACCATAGACAAGATATTTTATGGCCATCTGATACAGGGACTCTTGTGAAGTAGTGATTTATACTTTGCAGTTACAGGCGAATAGTGTTAGCAATAATTTAAAATTATAAAAATCCCCTTTCTCCTCCTTGGGATGCAGTGCTATATTTAAAGTCTGCTGCTTGAGATAATATGTAGTTGCAAGCTTGAAAATCCCTGAAAACATATTTGTGCCTTTTTAAAAATGTAACCTCCAGACTTATCTGTATCTGCACATAAAACTCCACACCACTGACAGCTCCTACGTGGCAGCTCCACGTAGGAGACTGCAGGGTTTTGCTGTCTGACATCAGTGGTTTGCAGTCAGATCACAACACAGTACAAAAACTCAAATCCTTTTTTGCTCAAAAACAAATGAGTCATTTTATTTATTCAGCTTGATTTTCTGCTTAAATGTGAATAGGAAGAAAGCCAGAAATATGCTGTTGTTTTGCCTGCCACTGTCTGTCACACACTTTGGTGGTAGAAAACACTGCAGCTAAAATCTCCCTGGGCTTGCAGTTGACAGCCAGTCATTAAAGTGAGTTTGTTAAACTCAAGTACAGAACCTGGAAGCCAGAAAACCGGCAACAGTGAAGGCCAGCAGAATACAGATATATTGTGAGTGTCAAGCTCTTATTAAGGCCAATGACATTCTGTCATCAGGAAAGCAGAAATTAATAAGCTCCTGCCCAGGGACAAGTTATGGCCTGAGTCCCAGTCACTTACATTTAGAGGTACTATCATCAAGGCTGGCAGTCAGAGCAGGCTTGCAGCTTTTTTCTCTGATCATCTCCTACCAAAAAGTAATTTTCTTTAAAGTTTGTTCAATATCATCATATTTAAGAACTGCAGCGACATCAATTTCATGTAAAAGTAGTGCTTATCTAGTTACTTCAAAAAATAAATGATGTTAAGACAAAAAGGATGCACCAATGGGAGAAATAAAAGTTCATTTGCAAGAGTCTCTGACACTGATTGGCTCTATGTGTGTATATACTTTGCCAGGAGTTATGAATTGATCTTTATTACCATACAGTTGCTTACCATAAGAACAAGGCAATAATTGTGGAAGGGTTAGTAAGAATTCATTGCAGTTTATTTGCATTTAAATTGATATTAATATTTAGTAACTAAATAATACAAAAATTGTATCAGGACAGAGAAAGAGATAGGGTGGTGCAAGGCTTTGGAAAGAGAAAGCACAGAAGGGATGTTCCTGCAGAGGCAAAGCCAGGCAGTCATTAAGACATTCCCAGGTGTTCTGGATCGATCATGATTTAAACAGCAGTCAGATGTTTATGATCTCCAGGTACTTCTTTCCCCTAATTTTCCACCTGATGCCTTATACTGTGGTCTGAGTTTTTCCAAGGCTCTAACATGGAGCCATGGTTCTCATCTCCCCCATTAACCAGGAACATGCTGCTTTGGTTTTTTTTTTGGGCTCTGCCACCTCCGTATGATTTCTCTACCATATAAGAAGTAAAGGTCTCTGAGTAAAGGTGTCCAGCAGCCCACTGCTGAGGCAGGCTGTGTTTCACCCACCTTTTCTTGCTGTCCCTTTTGGCAGTTTTCTCCAGCACCGCTCTCCGCCGCAGGTAGTCGTTCTGGATCTCGTTGTACTTTGCCGTGTGCTCTTTGATAAGGTCGGTGGTTTTCTTGTGATGCCTCTTCACCAGGTCCTTCATCTCCTTGTAGTGCTTCTTCTGAAGTTTAACAAAGGACTTCTGCTGTTTTAGCTCCTCAATGGTCTGTGCTTCCACTTCTGCAATGATAACAAAAGGCATTTCAACTTTCCAGCAGTGCAGGATTTCAGTCAGAGGAGCCAGGGATTGCCATGAGCAGGAATGGAACAAACCCTGCTTGTTTACTGTGGATAAAGGAAATACAGCATAAACTGAGTAGTTTTACCTGAAATAAGCTAATTGGCTTGAAAGCACTGTGATAAAATAGTTCCACTACTATTCACTACATTCAGAACAAATTTAGCCTCTGTTCTCACAATAATGCTGCTCTTTTTTCTGGGTTACATGGTAACTTGCTGGTCATGAAACTACAACAATTTCTAAAAAGTTTCCTGTTGGCACCCCATCTCATGAGATGTGCCCAAACATTGTTTACTTCAACCCTGAGTAAGAACACTTGGCATGTATATTTTCTAGGAGTTACTGCAGTTCTAAACACTGGAAGAAATGCCTAAGCCAGATGGCCTATTTAATAAAAAAGAAGCTTTTCTTGACAAGAAAGCTTATCATTCATGCAGTGTGATCTATGCATTTATTACCTGTGAGGACACTCTGTATAAGGTCTTCTGTCTTTGCAGGTGCTTTCACAGAACCTAGAGGTAAAAGAGATGTTTAATTCCAATTCTTTTAAAACAACAGCCATGACTGTGCTGCTTAGCCTAGTGCTAAAACATGGCAGGTGATACAAGACACACCCTGACATGGGCAGTTCTTAATCATTAGAAAAACCCCATCTTTTCAGCAGAAGAGGAGCAACATGAAAACACCAACCCTCTGGCCCAAGACAAAGACGACCTTCCAAAAATCCACCTGAGCTGTGTTGTGTTACTGATAAGGAGGAGGAACTCCCTGACACCACTCATCTGAGTAATTTGAGTGGCATTAGGCTGACAGTACAACCATATTACATAATATGATGGCAGTGCAGAATTCCTGCACACAGGATGAATCCAGCTCCTTGGAAATCAGTCAGATCCTGCCTATAGAGACTGCAGCCATAAAACTATAAACACTGTGTTTAACAACCATTTGCTATAGGGGATGTGTCAATACAAAGCACAGAAGTGCCTAAGACTGTGTTTTGTGTGTGGAATAAGATGTCACTACGCGCATGAATTAGGCATAGTTGTAAAAACAATTCCAAGAGATTCCTGCACTTGCAGCAATAACAAAAAAACCCAGCACATTTTCTTGCTTGTAATGAATTTCAGTTGCACCACCAATGCAACTGTTAAGTAGAAGATATTTGTATATTTGAAGCAGAGAAAAGCGGTGGGAAATTTCTACCTATTTTAGACAAACAAAAAAAACAAACACACACAACTTCCCACCTTTGTCCTTTAAACACAAAGCACTTGAAAAATTATTATCTAGGCTAATTTAGAAAACATGGGACTTTTTTTTTCTTTTCCTTTGTTTTGTTGTTTGTTATTTTTTACCTGGTGCTGGCTGGCTGTGAACAACCTGAGTTGCTGGTTTCGGTGTGAGGGAGGCAGTGAAATTTACTCCATTTTCTGCTGGTGTTGGCCTGGGTTCATTGTTAGCTTCAGATGGTGCATCCCCGTGGTCAATCTGAAATCACATGTTAATTCACATTATTCTTCCCAACTAAGAGACTTAATTTATTTGCAGGTCCAGTTTAGCCTGTTTTTTAAATGCAAAATTCTGCAAATGTTGTATCTAAAAATCATTCTAAAATAAAACAGCAAAAGAAGACATCCTTAAGAGCCGTTGTAACACAGGTGGCTCATTTGTGCAGAAGAAATGGAGCGTGCATTATTCTGAAAAAGTATTTTAAGCAGATATAACTCATCAGGGACATTTTTTAGTGCAACATATATTAGCTGCACCAGATGTGAAGGCTGTTTTGCAGTGAAGAGACATAAAATCTTTCTAGAAATAATGTAGGTGCTGCCAGGAGAATGCTTCTTAAGTCCCTGCTGTGAACAAAACGTGTACACAAGATTACTTCTAAATTTCATAGGTACACACAGCACTACCATTATTCACCATTCTCACAGAACAGGAACATCCTTCTGACTCCCAAGATCCTACATTCCTGTAACTACACTCCAAGGGTAATATGTAAACCGTACCTCCATTCTGCTGCATGAACACATCTGTGGTATCCAAATATTTAAGCATTTTCCAGAATATTTTCCTTCTCTCCAGTCTCCTAAAGGCTCAGGCTTGCAGCATGCACTGCACTACACACTGACCACCGGAAATTGTCTCTGTGACCATCAGGTTTTAAGCAGGCACCCAGCACTCAGCAAACAGAAGGTCAATTCACAGCAATTTTTATTTTGAAATGCTTTTGAAATTTTTCCGCTTCCTGCTGTCCCTGCAAGGGGCCAGTTGCCATGGTGTCTCAGGGACGTTTTGGATTTGTTCCTTCAGCTGCTTCCATCTCCTTCTTTGATGGTAATCACATTACATGAAGAGGCAGGATACCACAGTTGGTATTTTGGGTTGTTTTTTTTTTGCCCTATGACTACTTCATGCTTGCAAAACATCAGCCTGTGCTGCATCAACAAAGGCAAAATGGATTTTGATCCAACTGTTTTTTGCTGCTCCTGCTGCTGGGCTTCCTTCAGTCTGGCCCTGACACTACATTGCAAAACAATTCCTGTCTCAACAGCCTATTCCTACTGGAATTACAGGAGAGAGATACTGTAGGCAGAAGCATGATGCAATTACAAACCAGTGCCAACAACTTCATTTATACCAAGCAGGAGTGACTGCAGTAAAATAGGGAAAAACCTCATTTAGCCAACATTTCTAACAGAGGAACAATGTGGCAGGCAAAAGCTGTAGCTGTGATAAACACACACAGAATGTGGCTATCCTCACAGCTCTCCTCAGGCTGCACTTCATTAGTTTAATAAAAATGTTTCCTACACAGATCCTCAACATTTAATGCAATAAAGCTAGAATTCTTAACTTCTGGCGTATCTGTGCCCCACTGCATGGGAAATGGGTATTATCTTCTTTTGAGACCTGTTTTTTATTTGTTGTGAAATGCTGCATCACACTTTGTTGAGGAACTATTAATATAACCTGTCACTTTGGGATATAAAACATCTGTTTCCAGAAACTGAAGCAGAAATGTGAGGCAGGACCATGAAGTGAATAACGAATAATTTTCACTACATCAAGCAATCTAATCTCATTAAAAAACACTTTCTCTTCCCATAATTCATCATACTGTGCTAGAAGAATGCTAAAATAAACAGGATTTTTCCTTTAAAAAAAGATTTTTCCTTTTAGGCTGTTTTTAAAACATGATGTAATCCAGCCTTTTAATTTACAGTTTTAATATTAACATAAACTGGTTTCTATTTCACATTGCCATGTCTATTGCAACATAGTGCATTTACTAAGTAGACAGATACATACCCATAGAAGACTATCTGGTCTATTTTTATTTCTACAGAGAAAAGGAGCTGCTTCAGGCTGGGATTAGCTTTTACCAAGGAATTCTCTGCAAATTCCTTTGTGTTTTTTTTCCTGTCTGTAGAGGACACTTGGCAGGGGAAGACAGGGCAACCCTCACTACCTGTATGCTCTTAGAGATTTACAATGTGTTCACTGAAAGGTGCAAAACTCACACTGCAGGGCATTCCTTTCCCCAAAAACAGCTCTTCTCAGCCCAGGCTGGAAAGCAAGAGCTGACCAAGGAAAGTAAAGGTAGAAACTCCTACCATATTCACGATGGGAACTTTATAAATAAATCCAGAAAAGATGCTGCAACCTCAGGCAGTTCTTCAGCATTCTTTGCTTATGTGACTGCACTGACCATTAACAGACAAGGGGTAATGTGAAGCAGGAAGAAAGGCTGATTTCTTTGTTTAAAACAATTCACTGCTGGGTAGCTTAGTTCACTGTTCTTCTGTGAGAAGCCTGTGGAACTTCCTACAGAGGTTTGGTTTGAACTTCTACAGCAAGGAGAGCAAAGCAAAAACCTCTCAGTTTTCCTCTCACAGCTGTTCAGATCAGAAATGTGTGTGGGGGCAAGGAAAGAGGTGTGGGGAGTGGAATCTGCGCTGGGAGACAGCTCAGCTTTGCACACAATTAATCAGTTATAGTGTGTAAGCCTGAAACTGGGCATTGGGAATGTGAACCCAGGTGCAATCAAGTGTTCATTTCTGGCAAACACACTTGGGATTGTTCAGCTGTGTTGCCAGTAAATGTACTTGCAATTATGATTTGGTGTGATTGTTGTGGGCCAATAGAAGTGAAGAAAACCGACTAACAGATGAGGCAAATCTTAGCATCACAAAACATGGTCAGGGAATTCAAGATTTCCAAGTACAGACCAAAATACCTTTCCCAAAAACTGCCTTTAAAATAGAAGATAACCATGGTGAACTCAGATTGACAGTTTTGTCCCTGTCCCTTGGTGCTGCAGCTAACTCAACCATTACACATTTTTAGCAGTTTTTAACAGTTTTCTTTTACAAAATATTTCTGTGCTTCTCCAAAAAAACCCTCTTTTATTCTCTGAGCTTCCAAGCTCCTTGACAGACATCCCTCCTTCTTCCATTTGCTGCAGAAGATACTCAATGACAAGAATTTTTCTAACTAACAAATAAGCCTGTATATACCAGGAAAATCTGTAGTTTTTCAAAAGTAAAAATGACCTCTAAGGTATTTAAAGAATTATGTTAAAAAAAGGCTTTGCTATTAATATAGAATCTCATGTGTAGTGTGTCCTAGATAAATGTCTAAGATACTATTGAGCATTTCACAGTGTCCTCATTCAGCAGAACTAGTGACACTGCACACAGAGTGAAATGTTGGCTACTGAATTGTAATGACTTTAACTCATCTGGTCTGCTTTGAGAATGTATTCTTGGTTACAAAATCTAGTTCAGTGAGGTTTTGCACATCTGAGAATTGAAGATGGCAAACACCAGAGCAGAGGGCAGATTAGGATTGAAAAGCATTTATCTGTCTTTGAAGGAGACTGTGCTGAGAGCCTTTTGATCACTCAATGTGCGCAACACCTGGCACAGGCACCTCTGACAGACAAAGCTGATGTTCCCAAACACTGCTAGAAGCCCCACTGCCAGTGTCTGGAACAGAGAGACTGAATGTTTGAACATGCAGAGTCCATCAGTAATCATAGCTGAACTCTCAGTAATACTCAAAACAACATCTGTGCATTTGAGTGCAAAACACCTTCAATTATACAGAAAAAAAGCTTCACAGGTTAGTCTGTAGGTAACCATATATATATCTCCAGATAACTAACAACTAAAATTGGGGCTCCCATAGCTTTCAGCTCAGCTACTATAGGCCTATTTATTTATTCCATGGTCTCCTCCCTCTTCATTTGTCTAACATCTATGAAGGGCTGAATTTCAGAGACCCCCATCCCACTTGAATTATTGTCCAATTACCTTGTGTCTCTTCAGGACATGTTTGCTCACAGAGAATCTATAGAGATTTGTAATCTGAGATACACAAATGTTTCTCAGCAGAATGAGACAGTCTGAAATTCTCTGCAATTTGTAATATTTTCAGGAAAAACTCTTGACAAAGAGCTGTCTTTTTTTGCAAGGGGAACCAGCAGCACACTGGAAAAAAATGGGCATTGACCCACAAAGATTTCAGATGCTCCAGAGCAAAGCTGTGCATCAAATAACACAGTTCTTCCTGTCTTTCACCTTTGAACACCAATCTGTTCAGTGCACACCATGCTGCTTTTAGTGAAAGCACACTCAGTGCAGTGCTGCCGGGGTGTCCTGTGCCTCAGCCTTCCTCAGGGTGAGATGTTTACAGGTGTTCATGTAATCAACACACACAATTCCCAGAGATTTCAGTGTTTGCCTTCCTAAGCAAAGTAGGTGCTTTTAAATACTATAGCATGATTCCCAGAGACTCAGAAACCTCCCTTACCTCTTTCTTGACCTCTTCCTCATCTTCCAGAGTCAGTGCAGCCAGCTGCTTAGCTCTCTGCTCCATCAAGTTTACATATCTGATTGGGTTGGATAAGGCCTCAATCACATCTAGGAAAAAGGCAAACACCTCAGTTTCAAAGCCCTGGTGTTATGGCTCCAGCACTCGGGGTTTTAGGAACAGGTAGAACAGTGTTTTTCCCTGAAGATGGTGTTTCACTGCATGGCATTTAAACCCACCCCTGTTTGAAGCCAATGCCAAAACACAGTTCCCTCCCTTGAGCATGGCACTTTGCCCAGGGAACAATTACATCCTTGTGTGTCCTGCATGCAAAGTTTCATTTGTATTCCAGTAGCAAGTGCCTGGAGTACTTCCTCCTTTAGAGTCTGCTGAAAATATGAGTTGGCCCTAATCCTAAGCCTCAGGCAAGGTGCTGTAAAATCAGGCCATCTCCTAGGAGTGAGGAGACACACTGATCCACCAGATGCAGATCTTTGCTCACAGGACTTATCCCAGCCTGGCAAGTCAGTCACACCCCATGGACTTTGTGTTTCACTTAACCTTTATATTCCCCAGCAAGACAATTCCCTGTAGAATTCTGAGTTACCTGCGTAAGTGTCAGGGACATAGTCTTTGACCTCGATGTACACAAAGAGAGCTGGCAGTGTCAGAGGCTGGTTCCTCTCGTTCCTCAAGCAGATGTAGTGATAGCCTGCAGAGTAAGAAACAACCGGTTCACAGCATAAACCCTTCCACAGGCATTTCCAATGCATCTCTGTTATATTTGTTATTTACTGTTTGATGCCAACTGAGCAGGCAGCTCCAGGGACTTCTGGGAGGGGAAGGTTTACCTGAAGGGCTTCAGCGATAAGTGTACAGACTGCTGGAAAGGCATGTGGCACTGCTGCTCAAAATGATATCTTCTGTTTATTCTTACATATGTGATTGATGCTAAAAATAGTAATTTATTTAAATTTTTCATGCATTCTATTTTAGTATCTATGTCTGGATTTTTTTAGTTTAGTACATCTTATTTTCAAAAGTGACCCTGGTAGTACTCAGCAACCTGAACAGCCAAAGTAAACCGAGATGTAACAGCCCATCCACACACAGCATCTAATTTAAAAAATACACAACGTGGCATGATAGCCACAGACTGTGTTTGTATGTATAAATCCTATTATGTAAGCATCCTCAGGAATACATCTGTAAAAAGAGAAATTCCAGGCTGTTTTGAAAGCTGGCTGTCCAACCTTTGACTGATCACCTTGTGGCACTGAGTGCATGTCCAGTTTGGGAGCCACACATGTGAGAGGTATCAGGATCCAAGTCAGAAGCAGGATGCATTTATATGGGGTAATCCACACCTGGCTGATGTAAGCAACTCGCTCTCCAAGTAATGGCTAAATCCTTGTTTTGGGAATAGTGACAAGTCTGTGGATTTATGTGACAGCATGATATAATTTTCAGTAGCATCTCAGAAAAGAGAGAAATTAAATATTACAAAGGCTTCTCAGTTCTCTCAACCTCCTCCAGCCAGTTTTCAGCATGGACACAAACTCAGATCAACAGGCTGCTCTCCATCATATGCTGTAAACTTATGACTGCTGGAGCCAAAAGCACAGAGAATGGGCCTGGGGGGAACAGCTCTGGCAAGATTTCACTTGCCAGAAGAGGGAAATCCTTCCCATCCCCTTTCTCCTCTCCAGTCACCCACCTACCTTCCTCTGGCACTCAGCAGATCTTCCAGGAGACAGCTACATCCATTAAGCCAGCAGAAAATGCAGCTGGCATAAAAAAGGCGTCTGCTGGACTGACAAACTAAATTTGCTCTTGAAAAAGGTGTGGGGATTATTCCTCAGGAGTAATTTGGCCAACTGTCAGATGTGGGGACACATGAGTTTTGTGTTGGATAAGGCACAAGGTAGATAGAGATAAGTCTTCCTTTTCCAGTGAGTAAAGCTGGGAGCTCTAGCCTGGAAAATGTGGCTAGGGTTGTCACACAAGGTAATTTTCATTTAAGTGGACACTAATTATAGTAGAAATTAGAAGAGGCCAATAATTATATTTTTCTTTTAATTTTCAGCAATGAGGATAAAAGTAATTTTGGATTGATTTAACGGTATTACAGAGATATGACAGCTGGCATACAGGTCAGTCTTTCATGTGACTGACCTGCATGCCAGAAATTACATTAAAAGGAGCAGGTTTGACTTTCATTCCCAGCCACGTCCCATTCTCACAAAGATGACATCAAAATTAGCTGTCACTGCTCTCTTTTCTATTAAAAGTGTGCCAATGCACTTTTTAGCCCAAACCTGTGAGCATGAAATTGGTGTACTGGAGATAAGGAAATGCCAACTATGCCTCCAGTGCTTTAATTCCATTGATTTTCCTGGATGGTCAAAAATTTAAGTTTTTGATGAAATATTACATTTTTGTTTTTCAAGTCCTCATTTGCTATGAGACTGCTGATTTGGAGCAGTTGAGATTCTGCCTGGCTGTCTCTTTTCACCACACAATGTCTGTCTGGATGGGGAAAAAGCTTTTACCTGGTCGGATTGCTGAGACTGGCAATATCCGATGGCCAATGAATTTCCCTCCTTCTTCATACACTGCTAACCTTAAACAGGCCAGGGAAGGCAAAACCACCTGCAAGGCAATATTACTGCATTACTAACTTTCAGCTCTGAACGAGCTCCTTCCATAGGCTGCAAAGATCACATGCTAAAATTTACCTAGTCATTGGAAGGAAAAAAACAACCAAAAAAACCAATGAAAAAAGCTTCTCTGATTTATTTTTGACTTCTAAAAATAGTAGCCTGTGCTTCTCTGAGCACAGGGGCAGTCAGGCACAATCGTTAACTAAATAGAGAAACAAAGTACACTAATTAGAAGTTCATTACAGAAGAAAAATACTAGTGATGTTTCCAAACTTAAGCTCTGGCAGGCTGCCAAAGGAAAGCCAATCAGAAGGCCAAATTACTCAGGGAAAAGAGCTCTGCTGCAAGTACCAAGTGTCTAAACATCCTTGTGAGCTACACTTGCTGAGGGAAATCTGAAATAAACTGTTTTACAAGCACCTGGACTGAGGATATACTTAACCAAGGTGCTCAGTGAGCAAAACCCAGAGGTTCTGTTCAAATATTGGCTGCAGGTATGTTGCAAAGTGCAATAAAACATCCACATTGCATGGTGCTCAGTGTTTTCTGCCACCTTAGAAGTGTAGAGAATTGAGTCTGAGCAATACTCAGTAATTCTCAGCTGCATGAGCAGCTCAGAAGTTAAAGTCTTATCTCAGGTGGATGGGATTTGTCTTCACCATCGAGGCAGTGACTTTATAGCCCAATCTAGCAGGGCCAGCAGACTGCTTTGGCTGTGCCAGCTCAGCCAGCCAGGCCCATGAAGCTGCATTTCCATTGTCCTGCTGCTCCCAGGTTCCCAGGAGGGCTGCTCAGCCAGGGCACATTGCTGCTGGGATCTGTGCTTGCTGCCCATTCCATCCACACAGCTGCTGCTTCCAGCTGTGCCACCCAAACAACCAAGAGGACTTCAGACTCACTTCTTTTAGCAGCAGCTGCCACAACTGGAGCAGCCAAAGCTCAGCAGAAGCAGCTCAACTGTGAAACAACTACTCAGAATCTCTTTTCCTGCTTTCTAACAAGTGCAATGTTTCAGGAAGCCATGTCCCCACTGGACAGGGATTAAAAAAAAGCACAACTCCTTTTTGGGAAGCAAGTGTTACACCAACCTTCTTAAACACTATGGCTTCCTCTTCCCAGACTGGATTCACTGCGTTGCCTTGAGAAGTCTTGGTCTTCAGAGCTTTTCTCCTGGTGTCCACAGGCAGGCCAAACATGTCCACTTCCACATAGGTACCGACTTTTTTGTCAGAAAGGAACTGACCTGAAATAATCTAAAGCAAATGAACAAAAGCATCATAAGAAGCGGATTAGGAAATAAGTGGCTGCAATGCAGATGCATAGCTCTCATTAATGATCAGACAGTGGGCATTTAAAATAGAACCAAAACAACACTAAGCTCACAATAAACAGAAAAAAACCCCAATATTTAACTGCAGACATAGAAAAACAACTTGTGAGGCCTGGTTTCCTGTCACCCTGTGATGCTGAATTCCCCTATGAGCAATAATGTGGTTGAGATCAGGCTGCTGGCCATCCCTCAGCAGTAATACTCATTTGGATCTCCTCCTCAATCTGCATGTCTAGTTCCTGAGAACTCTTAAGTTCTGCCTAGTCCCAACAACAGGTTCAAAAAATGCTTGAAAAAACAGAGGCTTAAATGGCAGAGAAATTATATATATGCTTTTAGCTGTGAGGGAGAAAACAATCTTAAAAGTTCGTGTTCTAATGAAGGCTCTTGACAGAGCAGTTTTAATATGAAAATAAAATTGTAAAATAGCTGATCTTTTCCAGTTCTTATTTTTAATAGGCATCACAGCTCTCAGCTTGAAAAAGTGAAAGAAGGGTCTGGAATTACATCAGAAAGATGAAGAGGCACAGGAGTGTGCAGCAGTGTCACTGTACCTTAACAAACTGAGGCTTGCCTAAAGTAAATCTTAATCCAGTTCCAGCGTGCCTGTGTGAACAGTGACACTGTGACCAGCAGATCCCTCCCTGGGCAGGCAGAGGCAGCTGCCTTCTGACAGCTGTCTCCTGACTCCTGCATGCTCATCCCCATTCCAAAACTGAGCATCTCCTAACAGCTGCTGAGTGACTTCCACCTCCATTTGCTCTAATTGCAGAAGAAAGTACCTCTAAACCTACAGGAGGGGCCTGAAAGTGTCCATGATTGCAGGTCACCATCCAGGTCACCCCACACATCCTCCTCTATTACTATGCATATCACCAGATTATTCCTTTATCCACATCCCTCCCAGCAGGCTCTGCTGCACTCCTGCCTGCAGGAAAACACTTGTTTTCCCTCTGTGGAAACAGGAGGATATTTTGCAGATGGACTCTATAATACAGAGGCTGTTCTAAGGGATGAGTCCATTAGAGGAGCAGCAGGACTCCAGAAAGTTTATGGTTTTATAGCTGGAGAGACACCAAGTGAATTTGTCCCCATCATAGCCAATGCAATCTATCCCCTTGAACACTTATGCAGGTAATTCTCAACCTGCAGATTCCTGGCAGTCCCTAAACTTCATCAGAGGTCCTTACAAAGGAACAAGGATAAACAAGTTGGCAACGAATTGCAGCTGGCATTTATTGTTCCACAGTTCTTCTGGAGAACTTTCAGAAAACCAGAAAAATTTATTTATACTAAGCATGTGGTGTTCTTGCTATTCCAGTCCAACCTCCCACTTCACAACAGCCTGTTTTAAATCCAGCACTTTGTTTCTAAAAACACAGCCAAACTGTTCCTAAATCCATACACTTCCCAGTTCTTTGATTCTTTAATTACTTCTATGGAGAAGAATAATGCAATAAAAATATATTGATTTCTCCTACAATGTGAAATGTGAGGCAGAATTTTAAAATTAAATGGCACTTTATGAAATTAAATTAATTTTATTTTCTTGGCTTAGTATAGTCATTTTCAAGGCCCCTGCACCACAGAAATATAAATATATCCATACCCTGGCATTGCCATGAGAGCACTTCCACCAGCTACATACATACCTTGACAGACAGAGTGTTGGCCACTATTCCATCCACTATTCCCTCAGTAAACGGATCAAAGTGCTTGTCTGGCCTTCTCATGAATTCTGGCTTTAACCTGTAGCCACTTTTGCCATTGTACTCGTACATTCCCATGTTTATTTGCATAGACAAATCTGGATGTGAAAAATATTGGTAAGAGTTATCTTCTGGACAGATAATAATTTCAGAAAGCAATATTTTTTTAAAAAAATCACTGTAATTTAATATTTACTGTAACAGAAACAGTACAAGCCTGGGTTAAATACTTGTAATTACCATCTCTTTAGTATACTTTAATTCCTAGATAATTTTGGACAAATACAACCTTTCCTACCTATGAATCAGCAAGTCTATGAGAGAAGAGGACATGTACAGCTTTCCAAAGCCAGAGAACAGCAGGACTTACCTACGGTTTGGAAGTTGAGGGCGACCATCTGGCAGCCAGCATTCCAAAAGACTTGTGGCATGTAGTTGGAAGAGTCTACTCGTGTTCCCTTTGGGTAAATCCGGCTCAGCTGCATTTTGTTGTATCTGGTCAGAGAGTAGTTAAGGTGCAGAACATGTGACAAGAATCACCTGGCAAGGGAGAATTGCAGCTGCAGGGTTAAACACAGGTAATTCTTTACAGAATGGCCATGGGATCCTTGTTGGATTTCTGCAACCATCATGCTTCCAGATGTCACAGTTTTGTAGGAGATATGATAAATAGGGGGCAATTAAAGGTGCTGATTGTTCCTGCACAGAGTACTCAGAGCAAGCAAGGAAAGAGCATAGGCAGATGCATTAGGAAGATCACATTCATAAAATTCCATTTATCTTAATGGTTTCCTATTTTGGGATTTCCTTAGGATTACATTTACAGAGGCCAGTTGGTTGTAACCAGTGAATATTCCTCTGGAGCAGGGAGAGGTGTTCAGTTAAAAAGTGGTTTTCTGGAATGAGATTAGACTTGGCCTCTACATGGACAGAAATAACAAATGTACACATCTTATGGTTGAGTACAAATTTTGGATATGAGAATGTGCTGCAGGCAATCGTTGAAAGGAGCTTTCCATTAATCTTCTTTGAGGCACTGTTTCATCTGTTTATTTTACTTCATTCATTCTTAACTGCAACCATGAGGAGAGCTACTGAGAAACATCAAAAGGTGTAACCAGTATGTTCCTTAACTTTTCTTTAGAAGTCATAAAAATCAGAAAATCTGAGAAATTGTGTGGCAATAAATCAGTAGAGGTATGATGGCAAAGCGAGTGTTCTCATGTGACTTTACAAAGAAGTCAGCCACATTTTGACAATTTGCTCACCATAACTCTTACAACTCCATAAAGGATGATAAATTTAACAATCAGAATTAGGTCTTCACTATGTCATTTATGCCTATTCCCTCTAGTCCTAGCCCACAGCACGAGGACTCATGCCAGTTTTTAAATTAGCTCATCAGAACTCAGGCCAATTAATTCATATAGAAAACTAAAATCTTTAGAAGGAATAAAATCTAATCTACAAATTTCATTTGGGTTCCCTATTTCTCCAGCTCCTGTCTCTGAATTCCAATAAAGCTCTGTAGCAGATCTCAGATATAGAAAGACTTAGGAAGCCACTTTATGAAAGTCAAGGATACTCCACAAATTCCACAGGAGACTTTGTAAGTTGCTCAAGCCCTTTGGTTTCCACAAAGGAAGACATTTCAAAGCTTTTGTTGCGTTCTGCAGGTTTAGAGGGGAGATAAAACCAGTGACAAAACAGGTCAAGCACAAACTAGCGTGGTTTAGTCCCAGCCCCCTTACCCCACCCACAGCTTACCAGCTCCTCTCACCCTGATCCCAAGGAATTTACACACAGGTTTGCTGACAGCAATGACCTTGCTCTGCACATACTCAGAGCTCCATCAGCAGTGCCCAAATGAAGGGCACTGGTGCTGCCCAAGGCTGATGCTGGACCAGCTGCAGGCAACAGTGTGAGCAAAGCACTGTGTAAGTGTACTTGAGAGGGTGAGCCCAGAGATCACATCTGTGACACAGAGGGGCTGCAGCAGCTTGCTTTGAGCACTGCTGGACCTCTGGCTTGTCTCTGTAGGCTGATGTGAGGGCTGGGAGGGCACTTGGAGCTGTAATAACCGATGTCCATGTCAGATTAAAGTGAGCAGTGCTGTGCCTGCAGAGGCTCTTGGTACATCAGGGGCAAGGCCACAGCTGTCAAAGCCACCAAACACCTCTATCCAACCATCCCTGAAGGTGCACTCCTGTGCCCCATCAGGAATTCAGACCTAATCCCCAACTGATTTCAGGCTTTTATGATCTCTTTAATTTGGTCAAACTTTCTGATCCTCCAGTGGTGAACAGCTCCTCCTCCATGTCTGAGCCAGTAGGAGTAAACATTAATTTGTGCATCGCTTGTCACTCACCTTTGCCTGATGTGGGCACAGCCTTTTAATGGCCTCGGGCACCAGGATGCAGCAGAGAGCCTAAGTCAAGGCCCTGCTAGCTTCAATACCTTCACTTCTGTTCAGAGGAAAGGGTTTCTGTGAAGTAACAGCTTCCCACTTCATCCCAACCAGCCCTGTGGTTGCCTGGAAGGGCCACAGCTCTGGAGGTCAAACCCATTAACTCACTCAGCTCTGATGTGTTTAAAAATGAGGGGATCAGTGCCTGTGTTGGAGCAAGACATCTCCAGCCTCACCACTTTATTGAAAACAAACAGTAAGGCAGGGAAAAGGCCTGGACTCATCCAGGTTTAGAAACTGCTGTAACTGTGCTGCAGCAATCCAGGGACAACCAGGAGGCAGGGCTGGCCAGCTCCCCAAAGTCAAACTGCCAAACTGCAGGGGAAGGATAAAACTGAAAAACAAGCACAGAGGAGCAGAACAGAAACAGGTGGGCACTGTCCTCATAGGGAACCAAAAAGGAACCAGTGGATCCAAGGAAATTGTTAGGGCCACTCTGAGAGGAAAATGTGCTGCCAGACTGGGAACTACAAACCATTCTCAGACTATGCTGAAGAGTCAGAGAATGAACGCGGGTTTCCAAAAGTAATTCTCTGCCTCTAGGAGAGCTGGCACTCACCCTTTATGGTGATCCCTATTTCTAATCAGCAACCATCAGCTACAGCTGTTATTCACACCTGTTATCTCCTAATGGTGGAAAAATTCCTGCTCTCCTACCACTCCTTCTTCCTTTCTACCACACAATATCCTTTCCTTCTCCAGCTGGCTCACCTCCATCTCAGCTTCTCATAAAGACACTGAGATTATTCTTATTCCAGCTACCCCCTACTGATAGCATAGCACTAGCAACACACATGTACTGGTTTTATCCTATTTAGAATGTAGGTGTGTAGTGGTTTTGGTTGACAAGGTGCTAGAATTTGTAGAATTGTAGTAATAAACTCTTATTTCCCAGCCTTGTCTTTAAGTAGAGCATTTGTAGGAAACCAGAGCTACTAGCTGTTAAAGGATTTGGTTACCAACTGTCCAGAGCTTAATCAGACTCATAATTAAAATAAGAACAATTATTTCCTTGTGGTATCTGGAGAGGATTAAGGGACCTGCCCTTTGAAGAAAAGACTGGCAGGACAGACATTTCTCTTTTATACATTACACTGTGCTGTCTTATCAGGAGCAAATTACTGCAGAGTGAACAAATAACTCCTTGAAAACTGTCTGGAAAATGTGGAAAAATACACTTACAGCTACTTGCTGCCAAAGAAGATGGAACCTTTCTAGTGAGGGCATTCAGGGGACTGGTACAGATCCACTGCTATTCAATATTTTTGTTACCAACTTGGATGCAAGACCAGAAAATGCACTTTTTAAATGTCTGAATGACAGAAGAGGTGAGGTAGTGTTGTCACCACAGAGGTCTGGATCACAAATCCAAACAAACTCTGAATAAAACATAATAAATTAGACAAGTGCTGAACATTGAAACTATAAAACTGTATAATAGAAAAGTACGGATCTCTATACTTGAGAATGTGAGGTCAAGTGAACAAAAGTAAAATTTTTGGGAAACAGCTGGATAGATAGCCAACTGAAAAGCAATCTTCATTTAATCATTTCTTTATTCAGCTCATTTAATGAAGATCCAGCAGTGAGTCCAGGCCAAGACTAAGACTAGAACACCCAAGATGTTCCTTAGCCAGCCAGCAACATTTACCACCTAGGGCCATATTTATCACATAATGATTTTTTTGACACGAACACCGACAATTTAATTCCTTAACAAGATGAGTTTACTGAAAGTCTAGGTCACATCAGGACTTAGGAGAAAAATCTGGCATCAGCAAGTCTTTACAAAAAGCAAAACTCAAAAAGGCAAAGGCATGTGAACAGAGAAAAAAAAAAAACCTACATGAGACAATTCTGTAACAGCTGCATCAACTTGTAGTGCTAGGATTCACATGGCTTCCTTTCCAGAAGGCACATCTCCTTCCCACTGTGTTCTTGTAACTCTCATTAGAGCTGGAGGAGATTATAAACACCCAAAGGGACACTACTGCAGGGAACAAGCACAGCTCCCTGCATGATTTTGTGACTGCTCGTGTGTGGTATCCGTATAAATACCCACATACAAATGAACAGTTGGGAACTTCTTACATGTTTATTATTCCTCACAAGCAAGTGCCAAATCTTGTACAGAGACATGGACTTAGGCAACAATTACCTGCCCTTTGCCAAGGACACCACAAATCCGGAATAAATTAAAGTGCTGTACACTTCTTTAACTAAAAAGCTCCAAAAGCATATTAAAACCTATCAAAACAAAGTGAAAAAGGGCAGGCAAACAGTGGGGGCGGGTGGGGTGCATCTAGGAAGGCAGAGATGCTGTAGTGTTTACTGAGGATGTCACTGAGTGCATTCCTAGCAAGGCATCTTCTGTAAAAGCCAGCAGAGGGTGAAATTATGGCCCTTTCTTTACACCACACAGAGGCAGGAAAGTGAATTTGCATGTGGGGAAGGGCAGACTCTGCTTGCCCTGAATCTTCTACAGAAATACCAGAGGCAAAATAAAAGTAGGGATATTTATGACCACCTTTCTCAAACTGCTTCAGTCATGGGCAGCAAAGACAATGTAAGCACATAATTTTCAAAACTGTTTTTGAAATGTCAGTATGTTTACTGTTGATGAAGTTGGATATTTAGACTAAAAGAAGTTTCAAAACACAAATGGATTTATTTGGCTGGATACCAAGGGAACATTTTCTCCTTGTGTTCCTGTATCTAACTGAGAGGAAGCCAAGCAGCATTTCTGCAGAACTCTGCCAAACACTTGCCAGGTAATTTTAAGTATAACATGTTTCTTACTTACTTTTTGATACTTCAAATGACTCAAACTTCACAGGCTGAATGTAGTTTACCAAGTTAGACATCTCTTCCGTGGCCATAGCCTCACTTCCAGCAGTACCCTAGGGAAGAGAAGGGGAAATGCTGTAGTCTGGTCTGTCCATCAGAGGCCACAATACCAAAGCCCAGTTTTCTATCAATTGTAGTGTCTTTCACTGCCCCTGGCTAGAGAAGGCAATGCTTCACGTAGGGAATGTCACATAGGAAAGAACAAAATGGGCTGGAAGATGCAAATATTTACTATTTATTCTTTTTACATGGCTCCCAGGGAAGGAACTGCACAGTGCTGAGCACATGCATTAATACTCCTAAATAATAAAGTTCTCAGTTTTTGATGTCAGGTTTTTCATCCAACAATGCCAAACACACCACAGGGAGCTGCCTCAAACAGATCTGCTGTGGTGCTGTTTGTTCTTAATCTTGAGAAAATAAAAGTGTAAACAAAACAAAGATGTGCTTCCAAACCAACCAACAACCAAGTTAGCTGGGAAAGCTGGTGCTGTGCTTCCCGGTGCTCTGCCTCCCTTTCTCCACTGGATGGCAGCTCCACTCCTGGTAACACGCACCAACCCCATCCCCAAAAACACATATCCACCCTTACTTCATCCATCGACGACTTCTTACAGTCGTCATCGTAGTCATCGTCATCGTCACTCTCCATCTCTGCTTCTCCTGAAAAGTTTCAAGCAGAAGATAATGACTGGCTGAGGCAACAGTGACAATTGCCAGTGACAAATCCAAGAAAGATGTGCAGGTAGCGCTGCTCAGAGCAGCCTGCACTGTGCATGTGCTTTTTGTCCCAGCACCAGTCAAACCCAGAACTGGTCCCGAGGGACTCATCCATCTTCAGCATTGATTTCAGTTCTTATTGCCCAGCCAAACAGGAACTCTTTGCAGCTGCTTGATGCTTATTCTTTGGCAATTGGCACTGACACAAGAGTGCAGTGTGCTCACTGTGTGAGTAGTTTCAAACACTGTTCTGAGATATTCCCGAGTTTGGGACACAGCCCCAGGGTTTGGAGATGTGAGTTCAACCTCCTGCTGTTGCAGGATCCAGGCAGGACCTCCAGGGAGTGCCTCACCCTCTGTGGGAAGCAGCAGCCTGCATGGGGTGAAGAAATCACTGAAAATCCATGAGCTTTGGCTGTGCTGTGCTACCGAGGGCTGCTCAGCAGAACCCATCTGTTCTGGGCCTGCCACAGCTGGCAGGGCCTGGCACAGAAGCCAAGTGCAGGAGCTCCCAGCAATTCCCTCGGCAGGGCACTCTGGGTGCTTGGCAGAGCTCTGGAGCAGAGCTGAGCCGCGCCAGCTGGGGGCAGTGCGAACCAAACAATGGCAGGAGATGCTCAAGGCTCATCCTTCCCTGAGAACTGGAGCAAATGGCACCAAGTAAAACACTTATTACTTCACTCCTCATTGCAGGGCACTCATCAAATTTCCACGGGCAAGATGTAAATTCTTTAATGTTAATTAACGAAGGCCTCCCCTCGCCTTCAAAATGTTTTGATTGGTTGCACCAGAAATTAAATCATTAAGGAATATCAAGTTTATCTTTACCTTTAGAAACTCCTCCTGTGGGCCTGTCTGTCATAAAGTGAACCCTGTGCATCTTAAGACTCCAAAAAGGAAGATGCAGTCACCTATCCACATCTGTAAGAATGACAGCTCTCCCTGAAGACTTTATTCCACAAACCTTCCAGCTTTCTTCAGCAGTGGCAGCACAAAAAAATCTAACTACTGTGCAGCATTCCCAAATCCTCCAGAGAATGATAATTCAGTCTTACTTCCTCTTGTGAGTTTGGGGCCTAATCCCAAGTACATTGAGTCAATAAAAAAGCTCCTCTTTGCTCCAGCAGGCCTCCAGTCTGGCCCAGTGGGCCCCTTCTGAGCACTGGGAGCACACATGAGTGTGCCTTTCACAACCTAACGATGACTACCCAGCCTGCATTTCCTTCCAGATGTTAAAATGTCAGGCTTTTATTCATCAACACATTTCTTCCTGAGTGTTTCATTGAAGAAAATAACATGATTGCTCAACAGGCTCAGGGAATGGCTCAGGGAGACCTAGCACAATGCAGAGGGCCAGCCAAACTCTCAAAGGATTTGCACTGACAATCTTTGGATGGGGAGCTCTCAATTGATTTAACCAGACTGGCAAAAAAACCCTCTGCACAGAACACAGGAAAGGGGAGGTGGGAAGGCTTTGGCCAGCTTGCACCTCTGAGGCAAGAAGGTACATGATAGCCTGTTCTTGCTGGAAGTGTCCAGAAAATAAAGTACACAGCACATGGTTCGTTTATTTAAAAACATTTAACACAAATACTCCCAAGGAGATCAAATCTCATTTTCCGGTTCTGCATCAGACAGCAAAACCAGGACAAGTAACACATGGGACTGCCAGCACGGAATCAAAATGAGTGTTTCAGGAGGTGTGGTGCATCTGCATTGCCTTCCCCCCAGCAGCACGGCCCTATGCTCACAGCCATCCCTCTCTCTCTGATTCATGGCAGGGACACAAAGCCATGCTGAGACTGTCTAAGGGACAATTAGCTGTATTACTGTCTGCATTTAGAAGGGACTGCAAACCCAGGTCAGCACAGGACCTCTTCAGTGCTCCGTGGCACATAAATACAGTGAAAATAGTCGTTCTCCAAGGAAGCCAAACAAAAGCCTGCCCATGGACAGAGGCAGACAGAAGAATATAAAGAAATTAGAGGATGCTGCTCCCTACCACAAGTTAAAACACAGGTACTGTCAACCACTCACAGGCAGAAGGGCACAGAAGTCTCCAAGGGCAGCTTGAAGGATGTTTTCAGGGAGCTATCCCTACTGAGTGGGGCAGTGTGGAAGAGATATAAAAGTACTCCTTGGGAAAAATGAGTGGGCAAAGGAGGCTGAAACCCAGCTTATAGGCAGAGGGGTTCAACACAGTAATACTGAATGGAGGATGATCAGGAGAGCTGAGAATGACAAGCCAAATCACTGGGTCGAGGAAGCAGTGTGCTAAACATTACCCATTTTCATCATCCTGACAGATACTGACAGCCTAATAAAACCAAAGGCTAGACAGTGCTTGAAATTCAGAGGAATCTGGTAATCTGCTTTCTCAGACCCTTTCAAACAATGGCCAGGATGAATTATGAATGTGGTTCTTGCTGGTGCAGCTTGTTAACTCTGCAACATTTAGGCAGCCACTAGCATCCCAGGAGGCAACCACCTTTTGGGATTTTTCCATTGTACCTCAGCACTTGCTGATTTTTAAAAAGGGAAAAATAAACTTTATTCAGTTTGATAAAGCATTTTGCTTTGTAACAATGGGTCATGGTCTCAGCTGGCATCAGCAGCAGTTACATACACTGAGCCTAAAACCTTTGATCCAGTTTTCCATTTAGGCATAATGAAACCATGGAGCCAATTCTGCCCTCTATCTCTGTATTCCATGAGTCCTTCCTTGCAGCACACACTGCTCTGACAAAACCATCATCCTATCAAGATACAAGAAACTAACGCTTTGCTTACTTAACAGTATTTAAATACTGCTCCATTAGGAAGCTTTAGCTCCTTTCAGTATGAGCCTGCTTTTGGTGAAATGCAGGTCCCTGCAGAACTGCCACTGCTCCTTCTACACTGTGACAGAACTTCTCTGGAAATCTTGCTGGCTTACTTCTGTTCATTATACAAGACCAGCCAGCTCTAGGATGCTTGTTTACCAAAATTGCAATCTATCTCACAAGGGTTATCTCAGAAATTCTTCTGCTGCTTTGTCAGCTTTGCTCTAACATTTAGAAAAAGTTTCTTCCACTGACATGGATTGAAGTCACTTCCTACATCAATTTCATGGGCATCCTGCAAGGCATCCTACAAAGCTCAGAATTCTTTCTTTAATTATTGCTACTATTTCACTAGTACTACACTTTTATATGGTCTTATAACACATCAAAAATGTGGGTTTACTTGAGTTTAAATCTGACCTTAAGCAGTGTAAGAAACAGCGAATCTTGATATCAACTCCAGTATGAATTTCCACTTTGTTTTGCACTGCTATGAAAAAACTTATTTAGGATCCCCAGAAAGCTAAATCAGCACAACTTTCTCCTGGACATCAGCAGCAATTCTGACAGGAGCTATAAAACCCATCAGAGTAGTTTGAATAATATGTCCAAGTTGCTAAATGTCAAGATTATATTAAAGTTGGTGTACTGAAACAGTTAATGTTGAGAGACATTAAGAATCAGACTTCTGATTAATTGCATTACTCCAGAAAGAAACTGGTATTGGGTGCAGAGGAGCACAAGGCTTGCAGAGCTCCAGGATGACACACTGCCAATATGGAGATGTGAGAAGGGTGTCATGCTGACTCTTGGGCTCTGCCATGTGGAAACTCTTCACTACCACAATGTTCTTATAAAATGGTGAATAATTTTTTTTAAACTGTCTACAGACAGAAAAGCTGGCACCTGATTTACAGAAATGCTGCATTCTCATAGCTGTAAGCTGTAGCTGTAGTCTCTGGAGCTCTGAATATTTAAAAATTCAAAGTACTCTAGAAAAATGACATTCTGGGTGTTCTTCATCAGTCATCCCTAAAGTGTTCTTAAGTTCTGTCAGATTCATCTGTCCTCAGATAAAATTGGTTTAATGATATTGCACTTCCCGCAGGTCTCGTTCAGATAAATTCAGTGCTGTTTGTCAGGAGCTCGCAGGCAGCCTGGATACCCCCACAGAAACTCACTGATGATGCTCTATCTAGGATCAAGTACTGAATGACAGAGAGAGGAAAAAATATTGACTAATTGCATTCTCAGACAGAGGTACAAATCCTAAAGGAGAAGCAGAGGCTGACACAAGGACTACAAGCAATATGTTTTGGCACTCACGGATGAACCAAGTGACCACAGCAATTTTGCAGTCTCAGTTCCAGCATTTTTTAATTTGTAAGTGCTCATGTTCATAATCAGAAGCTGTTTCAAAGGTAGTACAGGCATAATAGTCACAGTTAATTTGTAAAATTACACACCCTGTTACGGGATTGACCCTTCTGCCTGGCATCATCATCATCTTTACTCACAGCCTAGGTCTTTTTCCTAGGAAAGCTCCTAGAGAGGCTCCTGAAAGAAAGGGCTGTTGCCCTCTGTGCAGCCCAGGCCCTCAGAAAGCCAAGGCCAAGTTCTTTGCCACTGTCCTTACCCTGTGCTGGCCACAAAAATGGAGAGTTAGGAACACAGGGCTGATTTCAAATGCTGGAGAGGAGGCAGCTGGAACACATCCTTACTTTTCTCCTGCTTGGGATTTGTCTAAAGCAAATCAAGAAAATAGTATTAAGTCATCCCTGACACCAGGATGAATCTTCCTTTGAAATCTCCAAAGCATACTCCAAGGCATGCCCTTTTCATAATTTCTTAAAACCATCAGTTGAAAATGCTTTCTTTGCTGCTAATAGGATAAACAATGCTATCCACAAATGAAGCAGGATTTCTTGCTCGTTAATTCAGCTTGGGGCATACTGCCAGCACAAAAATTTTCAGCTCAGTTAATTGGAGTTTAGAAAAAACTACAAACAATGGGGGAAAGTTTTTAAATGGCAAATGGTAATGAACTTATATTATATTTCAGCAGAGCTTTCAATATAGGTTTTCTACTGCTGGGGCATAAATGTCTGTGCTTATAAAAACACAAAATTTCAGTCTTTATAGAAGAAGAAATTTCAGTGCAGGGAACAGACACTGGGCTGGGAATCAGGATACAGAGACTTAATTATTTCTGCCTGTTTCCATCTCTGTAAGAGAAGAACATCTTCTTATAGCAGTTTAAACAGAGGTCCATGACATGTTCCCAACTAATGCAGGACAACAGCAGGTTGAGCCTTCCCTGCCTGAGGAACAGGGATCTCATCCCTTTATCCTAAACCCTGAAGCACTGCAGGCGCTCTGCAGCTCCCCTGAGGAACGGGTTCTGTCTGAAAGGGCATGAAATAATGGCAGGCAGGCCCAGAGGCAACAAGGAAAAGAAAACATTTATATTTAATATTGGGCTTGGGCACACAGGAAAGGCAGCCAAGGGTGGAGGAGTTGGCTGCTGCCTGTCCTTAATAAGCAGTGCAGAGAAATGTTAGCACACATCACTGAGCCCTGGGTCATTCCATGAGAACTCCTCACAGAACAGACTCCAGGATCAATGACACTTCAAGTCTTGTTGCCTGCTGAGCAACCCACACTGGTGCACCATGACCTTGCTGGAGCACTGCAAATGGATGGGATTGGAGCTGCATTTGTGCTTGAGGGAGAAGAATATCAGTAGACCCAAGTCCTACCTGCTCCAGGGGAGGAAGGCTCAAACATACTGGATGTGTCACTGCAAGTGTTGGAAGCTTGCTCCGACAGCTTCTTCTTTGCACTTCCATCTGCTGACTTATGAGACTTCTTCTTATTCTTCACCAGGATTTTGTACATTAAATCCATAGGGCTTGGGAGAGGAACCCCAGCTTCCAGCTTCCAGGAAGAAGGAGGAGAGATTTGTTAGAATAGCAGAAGAAACAAGCTTATGGTAGTTTCTTAGGGACCATGTGGTACAAGACAGTTCTGTAACCTCTGTAAGCCCTGTTAAAATTAAATGGATTTTGCACAAGAAGCAATGTCAACATTAAATGAAAAAGGGCCACTGAGGGCACTTAAAAAGAAAAATGCTTTATGAAATGTCTGCAGTAATAACCAAAATAAGTACTAGCTCAGATATGAGACTCTACATTTTAAAATAGCAGCTATGAGGACCAATTGCATTTAAAAGATCACAATTCACTCTATCAGGGCAATCTCTGCATCAGAAATGATGCTTAAGTCACCAACAGCTCACGTTGCTTAACTCCCTCCTTTAGACTGAAAGGCTTTATATGAAGAATTAGACAGGACTGAGACACTTTAGTAAGAATTCGAACAGACATTTGTGTTGTGATGAACACCAAGGCACATTACCGGGTACTTTTCCAATGGATCCATAAGCAGTGCATCTCCAAATATTAATCTGCAGTACTCTGCCATTTTTGCCTGCTGTTTAGGGCTGAAGGGAAGAAAAGAAAGAAAGAAATGAGTCCTACTAATGCTCCAAAGTGAAAGCTGTAGTAATGGAGTACCTAATAGCCCTAAACTAGTTGCAATTTCCTGATCCAGTATCTGTGAATTTTTCAGCGAGACCTACATATATCATGCAATTATTTCAATTCCTCTGATGGAGTTTTTCAAAGGGAACATACACAAAATAAAAGCATAAGTCAATAGAATAACAGTGAAACAACCATGACATGAATTTACCTCTTTCAGGCAATACTTTTATTCAAAATATAAGTATTTTCCCCCTTGTGTTACTTTACACACGTGCCTGGCATTTTTCTTGCACTACAGCAGTTCTCACAACATCCTCTATAAATAAACTGAACCTCATTAAACTCTACCTATAACCAATTCTCCCAAAGTGCAAACAAAAGATTAAATAATTCCTGCATGCCAGTGATGGAAGTTTTAGGATTGAAGATAAGTTTTGTGGCTCAGAAACATTACTCCAATCATCTCAAAATGCAGCTCAGTACCACAGTCACTTTCTAATTTTAGAAAACTGGGGATTTTTGTTACATGTGCCTGTTTAAAATGCGTAGCATCTGAGCTGAGGCATCTTTCAAAGTTTCCTTTTCTGACACTCTGCTGGGAAGCCTCGATTAAAGGACAGGTTTATATGGCTTAATATAACTTCCTCAGCTCCTGCTAATTAGGATCTGCATATCATGGAAGAGACAGGGATGCTATAAGCTGTTATGTTACCATGGAGCTACTTTTCATGACAAAATAGAGCTGGGTATAAAGGAAAAAAAAGGAAAAAATGCTCATTTTTCTCTTGCATACCAGGACTTCAACCCTGCCTGCACCCAGTTGGTCAGTGGTTACCAACTCCCAGGGTCAGTGTAGCCAAACCGGAGCTGAGAAAAAGGCTGGGTGGCCAAATGACATTTCAATCAGAAAATGTAATTTCCCTGGGATCAGTATCCTGGCTACCCCTGCAAGCAGATAGTGGGTAAAGCAGTCATTAGCTCAGTCACTGACAAAAAGTACTGCCAGGAGGCTTTAAATTATTCCCCAAAGCAAAAGCTGCATGCAGTTTAAATCCCTACAGCATTTCACAAATGCTGTGTTTTGCATGCAGCCAATTCTGCACAGAAGCTAAAAAGCACTTTTAGCTGAGGATGGAAAATCAAGCTAAAGACAGGCAAGGCAGCAGAACAAAGAACCCACACCGGAAAAGATGATGGAAGAACAGATCAGGCTGGGACATTGCATTGGGTATTTCCAACCCTCAGCTACCAAGGGAAATAAAGGTACCACTCCAGCAGAATGTGCATGTGCCCTAAATCCAGGGGTTATTAGATTGAGTTTTTCAGTCTACTCCACCAGCATGTGTTCTGAACAGATCCATATTCTCAAAACCCAGGAAGTTCAAAGGACAACTCCTTGAATAAAAAGAGGGCATTTATTGAAACTAGAGTAATTAGATATGACATCATCATCATTCATAAATGGGCACAACTCCAAAAAGAACTCTCCATAGGAATTAAAAAAATAAAAAGCAAGAGTTAAATGTAATAAAGTCCCAGTCACCACCACAGCTAGAACAAATTTTTCTGATATTCTGTGTTTAATTACATGTTTTCCTCAAAGAAAGCACAGTGGGAACTTTTATTTTTGCAAATGAGAAAAATGCAATGCAACATTATGTTGGTTCAGTATAAAAATTCCAATGTCACTGCATCCCAGAGGCAGAAAGTAGGAAAATTATGTGAAAAACTAATAGGTTTTAATACCACAAAAAACCCTTGAGGTAGTAAACAAGGTCAAACAAGAAAATCTTGACACTACAAAATTACTTGTCTTTGTGAACTAGACTATGTGTACAAATATTTTTAAAAGCTCCTAAGAGGGGATAGAAAAAATTTAGGAGAGCATTTAACTCTGTGGTAGATCTTTGTGTTCCCTCTCTCCCTAACATACATATCTATGTATATACTGCTGCAAAAGAAAGATCATTAGGAATAGCAGATTACATATTCCTATTTAAGTATTTTGTGAAGTTGGAAAACTGGTTTATCTTTATTTTCTATTCTTTGAAAATTATGAGCCAGAGCAACAGAAACACCAAATTTACTAAATCGGTATCTTCCCCCAATTTTTTTATGAAGTCAAAACCCAGGTGTTTCTTGGTCCACATCTCCTCTTACTGGAAACTCTCCCAGCATTCGTGCATTGCAGTGAAAATTGATTGTCTGAAAAGAGCTGACTTTATCTGTTTTATGATTTTTACTGTGCAGACATGGATAGGTAGCACACAGACTTGTTATAAGTGCCCTCACAAAGTGCCAGGGTGAGGGGACATAAAGTAGGATCATGATACCCGGAGATACCTGGAAATATAAAGAAGGATAAGAAATGTTTTCATTACCATTATTGTATTGCCTGCACTTTGTTTTACTGTGTTTGTGTCATGCCTATCATGAAGGTCAACCACAGAGGCTCCCTGACACAACTACTGCTCCCAACATTACATTTTTATCACTGCTGCATAAGACAAAGGCACAGATGCTTCCCAGAAGAGTCTAAAATAATTCAAAGTGTGGGATGAAAAAGTGATAAAAATCCTGTTAATATTTGAAGCAACAATTCCAGCCAGAAACCAGCAGTATGAATAACTGTAATTAAATTTAATCTTGGAAGCAATCTTATATGGATACTGCTCAAGGATCACTTAACCTTTTTGCTATGTCTTCAGTGCATTTCTAATTATAGAGTGTCTGCTTTCAGATTTGCAGATTGCTTATCGGCTTGCAAGCCCCATTTCAAACGCCAAGGTCTCCTTGAGGTCTTTTCAACATTTCCAGGGCGCTCCTGTGCTTTTTTGACAGAAGCACAGATTGTTTTAGTGGTCCTTTTTTCAGTAGGCATGCTTTGACTTCACTGTAAGTGATGGCACACATAATATTTTATGTCATTCTAAAAGTTACATGCTTGCCTCTTTTTCTTAACTTTTTATTGCATACAAACAGGCAACAAAAAATACACTAATAGTGGAGTTATAGTAAAGAAAATAAAAATTCTTCATATGCTACGAAGATATTGGAGAGGAGCCCTTCTAGGAGACACATCAAAGGAAAGCAAATTAGATGATTTACACAATGTGCTAAAAAGTGATATTTCCCCTAGGTGGACAAAAAGTGTCAATAATATTCCCATAAGCATAGACCACAAGAAAGAAAAGTTACATTTTAAGTCTGGTGCTGATTAACACTGTCATATCTATGGTAATGATGTGAAACTTATTTAGCTCTGATAATTGCAGTGTGTTTAAAATCCATGAACAAAGGCTAAACCCATATTTTTGCTTAAGCCAATGCCAAAATTTCTAGGGGACCAGAATTTCACAAACAACTCTCACAACTTGAAAAACAGAAAAAATATTTAGTCCCCAAGAAGTAGGAATGGATGAAACAGGTTTTGTTTGAGAGGAATTCTAAAAAAAACACTGGCACTTTTTGTTAACATTTAGGGCAAAGCCCAGCTTTAATTAAGATCTTGGAGAAAAACAATATTCCAAGTAAATGAAAAGAGAAAAGGAGCGTTCCATGAAATTAGGTGAACTTTTCTGTGAGTGACATGACTAATTGCAGATTTCTCCAGCAACTAGTGAAGAAATTAAGGGGTAATTGAAGTTAGTAAAATAACTAGAAACTATTTGCAGGCAAAGCAGAATGAGAAAACACACACACACTGAATCTGATTATTTATTATAACAAAAATAATCACTAGCAGGAAAGCCTCAGAAAGAGACAATATTTGGTCATGGGTTTGCAAACTTGTTTTGCTAAAAACCTGTGTCTTAGCAATGTATGGAAAAGGATATCAGAGAATACAAATCAGGTTAATTCCTTATTCCATGGCTGGAGGTTTCTGGAGAGAGAGGTCCAACGCCTTCCAAACTGTAAATAACAGAGTAATGCAGCAGGAACTCTGGCCCCTTTCAGTCACATTCCTGCAGTCTCACACTGCCTTCAATTCTGACACTGGTTCATCTTAGAACTTTAAAGCCACTTTTGTATATAACTTACATCTGACAGGAGTTTATTTCATAAATCTTTTTATTCTTTCACCTTCCTAAAATAGAATAGATCACCCTGGAAGAGCTGAAGACTTAAGTCGTGATGACTTTAAAGGAAGAAAAATGTAGCTCTTGTGGTTAAAATAATTTAGCTGTTGCTTTTCCTCTGCCTCATGTTAACAGAGCAAATGTATATTAGAATAAATCCAGAAGAATGAGTACAAAATATAATACTTTCAAAAACGATGGTTGATATCTTTCTTAAAGGCCAGAGGCTGCATTTGGAAGCACTGTGAGTTCAAACCTACAGGAGTAGGTGAGTGCAAGCCCAAAGGGACACAATGTACACCAAAAAGAGAAGGCCATTAGAAAAGGCAATTAAACACAGCCTCTGTGTGGTCTTTCAGAAGAAGACAGGAATAACTAAGCAGGATTTAAGAGGCAGCTGTTTGAATCACAACCATGTGGCCTTGAAATGTGTGCAGAGTAAACACATATTTGCCCACAAGAGGTAAATTTATACTCTGAGGCATTCAAGTAGTGGAGCTCAGTCCTCTTGATTTTAAATTCTTCTACCTACATAATTTCTGATCAGTATTGTCACATCTATTCTTTAAAAACATTCTTACATAGCTTCTTCTACCAGTTCCTTCCCTTAGACAAGAATGTTCCTCCGAAAAAAATGGAAAAGCAGTTAGCCCTCACCCTTTTCCTCTTTCAGAAACAAAAGTGCCAACATAATTTCAGATTTGTGTTAAAACATTCACAGCTGGCCACAAGAATATTTTTATTTTACATTAGAAAAAACCCCAAAAACCAAAAGCAAATCCAAAAATTAGTTTCTAAGTCCACACTGCCCCCAGAAATGTTGGAAATGTTTTCAGAGCAAAAAAAAAAAAAATACACAAAAGGGGAAAAGGCAATTCAAGTTAAGGCACATGTTCTGTATCAATGTCACCCCACTTTGAATCACGAGGTCTCTGCATTCAAAAGTGAGGTTAATGTTAAAAAAAAAATCTGAACTATAAAAATAAAATAGATCACTGGGACGAAGCTAGAAGTGTTCTCATTTATTTTTTCTTTTCTTAAACAGAAAAATTGTTATTTCCTTGTAACTAAAAAAAAAAAAGGAAATGAAATAAACTTAGGCAAACTGTTACTTTTTTGGCAGAAATTAACAGTTTCTGACCATCCACACCACCTATTTTGCAGTCCTAGAAGTCCACAGTTCTGGCCTCTGCTTCCAACATGAGAGACAGACCAAATCCTGAATGTGTTTACAGCACAGAATAGGGTCACCAGCAAGTGAAATACTGTCTCATTTTCTTTGGAGTATTGCTGCATTCCAGCAGGTCATACTGAGAGTGAAAAGTTAACAAAATCCCTCTCACAATCAAACTTCTGCTCTCATACAAAGGATTCTGATTCAGAGAGGTTTTCAAGAACAGGCCCAATTCATTTTTGGAGAAGAGCTGTTGTTTGGGTCACAAGCACGCTCACAATTCCATGCATAGACCTTATAAAAAATGAAACATCAGACAAGAAAAATGTGGTAATTACTTACGAATCCACATGATTTTCAAAGGAAAGGAGGATTGGAAAGGGTGATGTCTTAAATGCACATTCAGCAATAGCTTCTATTACTTCCTAAAGAATCAAAATACACACAGTTACAAATTTAACTCTCTAAAGAAGCAGAGTTTTAGCCTTTGAAGACAGAAAAGATCCAACAACTCTGAAATCATTCCCTGAGATCAGACCTTACTTTCTAAACATCCCAGAAAGCTCTGGATGTGCTCTTGCCACAACCAAATTTTTCAACCTGAACTATAATTGAATCTCCAAAATGTCTGATGAGTATCAAGCACCACATTTCTCAAGAAATGACTTATGTCTGCCAAAATCAATAGCTTAAATATAAAGCTTGGTTTTGGTGTGGAGTTGTTCCTGTCAACCCTACAGAAACCCTAAATCAGTGGAGATTTCATTTGACAATGATGATTTTAGTGAGGTGCACAATAAATGCACTCATCATTACAAATTATTAAATGTTTCCCTCTTGGAACAAATCTCTCCTCCAGAAGAACACAGAAAACACTGAAGGCTTTTCATATGCTGGCAAACTCTGGAGTTTCTAAGAGCTCATAAGTCTCTGTCACACTAAATCATAAGGATGACTAAAACCTAAAAGATGTATTTAAGTTAAACAGCTTTATCTGGGGATTCCTCCTGTTCATTTTCTACACTTTTAGAGGCTCAACTGAGAAGCATAACAGTAAGAAATCCACTCCCTAAAAGAAAAGCTGAGCTTCCTGGTACATTCTTCTGGCCCACTTGTCTTCAACTGCCTTCTTGATGCAAAAGGGGATGGAATCCTGCATGAATGGGGAAAATAATTTGGAGAGTAAAATTAGGATTGATGATGAGATGTGAGGATGAAAAGCTCAGCGACCGATTCAGTGAAGGCAAATGCTCCATGGTCAGAGAGAAAGAAGCTGGCATGTTCCACACTTGGCTCCAGCTGCAGAATGACTCACCTGGATCAGCTGTCCAAGGTGTAAACATGGTTACATACAGAGATCTCTAGTTATGGCATGACATCCATGGCTGCTCCCTATAGGATCCCACCCTGGCAGTGGCTCACAACCCGCAGCAGAGAAAAACCTTACGGATTTCTGAGTCACGAAGCAAGGGGAAAACCAAGGAACCAAACAGCCCAGGAACATAAGGATGGGAGTGCACAGCTCTGCTGCCTCTGCACTTCAGGAAGTCTGTCTGAGACTGTGAAAGCCGGCAGACTGAGCAGAATCCCTGTGCCGTGGTCACAGCAAAGCATGAGCTGATACATGGTTCAGAATTCAAGACATGAATTGATTCTCGCACTCCTGACACATTACTTCACTGCCATTTTGCTCCTCCCCAGCTGAACAGCACATTTTGAGTGTTGAAAAGAAGTCGAGATGTTCTTCACGTTTTTTTGGGTGGATAAAAAAAATGCCTGCCCTGAAATGACCAATGAAATACTCTTGAGTAGGTTTAAAATACCTTCCAATAGCTCTCCTGCCAGCACAATGCCAAGGGTTGAACATCTAAATATCCAGGGATAATCCTTGTTCCTGCTAATGATCCTTTTAAAAATCAGATTAACTTTGTTTTAAATTCCTGCTCATGACCAAAGCAGTCGAGAGCCATCTTCCTCAATTAAAAGACTTCCAGCAATCAAACCCCATGCCTATAAACATAATTGGCTTCCCATAAACATAACAGGAAAGCTAATAACAAACGTGCAAGAAGGTTGTTTTACGTGCTTCTATGATTAAATCAATCAGGGAAGAATTAGAGAAAGCAGACCGGAGAAAAAGGACTGTTCTGGTACAAGTGAAACTTAGTGTTCTGTCTGTGGCAGACCTGTTTGCTTTTTTCCCTAAGGAAAATCACTAGGAGACAAAAGGACCCCACCCAACAACAGGTTTCAAGTATGGGAGAAACTTCTCAAAGCTGTAGCCACATGTAATCTCTGGAACACAATCAAAGTCAGTAATGAACATTTTTCCACATATTCTTGCACACAGCTAAGGCTAGAAATGTATTTCTATGGTGAGTTAGTGTCTCAGATAAAGAAGAATTATTTCTTCACACTTCAAAAATGATTTCCTGAGGTACCATTATAAACTGCTGACTACCAATCCTAATACTACAGGCAAACACCTCCATTATGCTCCTCTAACACCTCAGATCAAAAACATCTTTAAGAAGAACAAGAAGATAACAATTGAAGGTTATTGCTAAGGATATGGTCTCTACCTTATACTGTAGAAAAGGAAATGGAAGACAAAATTCAATAATAAAGATCATATGTTTGGGGTTTGAATGGCACAAATATTCCTTCACAACCTCTAAAGATACTAATTTTTCTTTTTCACCCTCCAGTGGTTTGGGTCTGGTCCCAAATATCAGGGATAACACTGCACACAAATATATATACCAAGTGTCTGGGTCCTGTGCATGGAGCCTCCCCATCTGGCCATGAGCAGCATATTCTCTTCTCACAGGAATTTAAAGGCTTGCAAATGTTGAGATCTAGCTGCTACTTCCTGTCTCAGTTCAGGACTTTTGCCTTCCACTGCCAGTGACCAGGCAGAGAGGAGAAAAGGAGTGAACTGATGTGCTGGTTACTGCTGACCAAATCCTGTGGCCTCCAGTTCTGCCCCCTGGAGCTGTAACCTAACCAGTTGTTTCTCCCAGTGCCTTCACATTGCCATTTGTCTCTGCGCAGAGCCAGTTGTGGTGGCTGTGCCTGGTCCTTCAGCCGTGGCTGTGGCCTTGCCTGCTTCTCTCCCTGTGAGATCTGCTGCAGGGACGTGCACAGGAGCATGGACCTGGGCACGGAGCCCAGTCCCCAGATGGCACTGCTGTCACACCACATAATCCCTTTTCCTCACACTGCCATGACCACCAGGAGCCTCTCCCCATGCAAGGTCCAAATGCTGCAACTCTTCTCCTCCAGCAATTCTGCAGCTGCTCCATAATTTCATCCTCCAGCAGCTTTTTGCCCTCACATTTCTGCCCTCCCACCTTGTCAGCGATGCATCTGTGAAGGTTTTGCACAAAAAGAACCCTCCCCAGGAAAAGCAGCTACCCCCAGAGCTGTACCTTGAAGGATATCTCAGTTGTCATGGTGAATCCATGAGTGATGACCGGCTCCTCCTCCGCTGTCCGTCCCTTCCAGCAGTCCAGCTCCACGCAGCGGCAGCCCGACAGGAGCACCTGCCGGTACATCTCCACCGAGGAGTTGCCAGCCAGCTGTCCAGCTGGGACAGAACACAGAGAAAGGGAAGTCATTCTGGGCCTCAGGAATGGATTCAACTGATCTAACAATAATCAGAGTTAACGGCAGCTTTTGCCCTCGGCAGGAAGGAATAACACTCCAAAGAATACAAAAAGCATAAGAACGCAACCAAAATCCCTTTGGCACAGTTAATGTCATGATTTGGATCCTGCCCTCAGTCAAACAGAGAAATAACCCAGCTGAAGCCAGCTCAAAAGCTTCTGATGGGCAGCATCAAATACATAAAATAAAATAAAATAAAATAAAATAAAATAAAATAAAATAAAATAAAATAAAATAAAATAAAATAAAATAAAATAAAATAAAAATAATAACAACTACTTAGGTCTATGAGATTTTGTTATCTCTTGACCAGCAATGTGAAATTCAGACTCAGGAGACCAAGACCACATTTTCTCACAACATGCAGTGTGGTTTAGTACAAGATGAAAAAAACCCCTGCAGTCACTAATGGCACCACCATTAGATCTCAAATCAATATTTAATATGCTAACCACTGCAATGAGTTGGTCAGTTAAATTTCCTGATGTGATACTGTATTATGCAGGGAGAAATTCAATTAAACTGTCCTTTTCCAATAATGAGATAATATAAATCTAAAAATTAGGAAGGAAAAACTAATTTTTTCAAAACTTGTGAAGTATTAAAAAAGAAACGCACAAAAAAAATTTCCAACCCAAGCCAACAAAGAAGTCCAGTTGGATCAGGGAAGGATATCCAACCAGGTTGTCTTCGTCTGCTGCAACAGGTTTGATTCCAGTCATTCAGATACAAATCTCTTGCAGCAGAGAGGTAACAGTAATGGAAGAATAGATTTTTGCCTCTTTTACATGCAAAGAAAATGGATGCAGTTTCCTGCTTTCTAGCAGACTTGCTGAGATCTTCCTGGATTTCTTGAAGGAAATTAATTTTCTTTTTAAGGAGGCAGTGAGTTCATTTACAGTGAAGATTCTTTGCTGACTGGGGACATATAAATACTTCATCTAGACTGGCATATACTACAATGCAGATGAATTCTCATTTTATTGTCTCTGTGATTCTGTGTTTAGGTTTTATGCTGGGAAATACCCATTTTGGGATTTGCTTCACAAAACGGCATTGTCTGCTTTTGCTCTTTTTTTACCTTGCACTAAAAACTGTGTAACAGAACCGCTTACTTGAAAATCCCTGTTTACAGTTTCTGTCTGATACATGAGGTGGAACAATCATAAATACTCCACAAGGTATTAACATTACTCCTGTTGAAATCCATAAGAATTCTCAGTTCCTGCTGAAACCAGTGAGAAATATCTGTTAATAACAGAAGAAATTAGCCAGGGCTGGAAAGCTCTGAAAATCCAAATGGAGTCAGCAAAGTGACAACATGTCTCTTTTTTTCTTTTTCTTTTGGAAATTAGCTTTTCCCTGTTTCACCTTTGATTATGGCAGATTATCTTTCCTCACACAAAAACCTTTTTGGTGCAATTCCAATATCTGAGTTAAGTAGTGGTTCTTTTTCTTTGCAGGATGCAAACAAGCAAAAGTATGGATCAGGGAATAACAACTCACATTTTCATGTACTTATCCCTAAGCATCTCCTTATGAAATCTTGGCTCTCATAGGGAACCACTGAACTCTACTGCCTAAAAAAACCCACTTTCACATAGAAAACTGTTCTAATGTTGTCTTCCTTTTCCCTCAGAGCACTTAAGAGTTTGGATAAACAAACTCTGTTTCCCAAGAGACTGCTGGTGCTAAGTGTTTTGGGCTACAAGATCCCTTCACCTTCCAAAGTACTTAAGTAAATAATGACATGCATCACTTGCCATATGACACTTCCCACACCACCTTATTATATTAGTAAGGCTCAGACGTTTTGGAAGGATTCCTGCAAAGGATAAGAGGATATTCAACCTCCAAACCATACAACCTTCAGAAAGACCCCCAGGCAGAGTGTAAAATGCTAGCACATGTTTTAATAGTTCCAACAGCTCATTTTTCTGAAATACAGATATGTGAAATGTTCTCCCAAATGTGGAGGTTTTGCATACATTATTTAGAAATTTCTATTGTGCGAGTCCCTGTTTGCATTTAGTTTAAAATACCCCTTTTGCATTCTAAAATGCATGTTATAACACAGACACTAAAGGGAAAACTTCCAATATATTTTTAATAGCCTGATACAGTTCAATTTTTCAATACTGTAAATTGAAAGCATTATGTATTCCCTTCTACAATATAAGTAGCGTCTACAGTAATTCCATGCATAATATTTGCATCCCATCACCCTATGTGGGGTAAGGAGAAATGGATTTTGACAAAAAATTCACTTTTCTGAAAAATGTCATCAGCTAAATAATACTTGACAGGATATTATGAAAAATGAGCCAGTGCTGACTGATCTAAGCTGAGGATATGATCTAGGTTTCCCACACAGACCACTTCCACACTTCTGTAACTTTAAGCTGCTCATTTCTCAGGAAGTGCATCCTCACTGGGTTCATCCACCACTGTTTTTCCAAGTGAAAATTATTTGCAATATATGGAGTTAAAATGTGGTTGCTATCTATTTAAGACATCTTTCCTCCCCAAACTGGGAGATTTTGGGATCCATCTATTTGGAATCACCTGACTTTTCACTATTCTAGAATCAGAGGCTGCTTCTTCCCTGTCTTCCAACAGTTTCTCCCAGCATAAGGTGCCTGTATCCTTTGCTGGGCACGAACATGAATTGCTACATCTCCTCTCTCCAGACAAGTCCTGGAGAAGCATTCGGTGCCCTGGATCACACACTGGGGTTTGCAGTGTGCAAACTCAGAGCCCCACACTGCTGGGAGCCTGGCTCCTCACTCCAGCAGCCACAGAAGGTGCTGGCAGCTGAGGTTTTTTTAGACACAGCCCATTTATCTGAATTAATTTTCCTCCTGAGCTATTTCACCATGCGCAGGACAAGTGGATCAGACCCTACACTGTGACACACTCTGCTCCTGCTTGTATGTCAGCCAGAATCAGGCTCTCAGCCTCGCCTGTTGTTTTTAACATTTCACACTGGACCACAGCAGGATGTGAGGCCAGCAGCAGGAAGGTGTCACCCAGCTTTCCACCCCTTCCGTATGGTGCTGTCAGCTTGGAAACTCTTCTGGAGGCTTTGAAGGTGAAGAAGGTTTCAAGGAAGTGCTGAATGCAGATAATAAGCAGCAACAGTGAGGACTGAGGAAGCACTGAGAACAGAAGAGCTGGAGCATGGTAGATGAAAGGTCACAGGCAGCAAAAGAAAAGAGAACTGCCCTTCATGAGACATTTTTCTAGGAACATCTGAAATGCCAAATTGTAAGCAGGAAAGCAGAGGCTGAGGGTGGATGGGATAGTCCCACATGGGCCACAGGTGCTCAGCTGATATCTCAGCAACCTATTGCTGAGATTATTGTTCCTTTTAGCCAAAACATGTGTTGAAGGCGTGTGATTTTAGTATTTTGTATTTCCCATAAACAACAGTAAGTTGCCCAGCCTCAAAACATGCAAAGCTGAGTGTGAAATGTCATCATTTGTCTCTGACTTTGGCTGCTGCTGAAAGAACCGTTGCAAAATCACTCCCCACTGTGCCCATGGAAGAAACCTGAGGTGAGACTCCAGGAAAAAGCAGGGTTCACTTTAAGGGTTCAAAGGAATAAAGAAATAATTATGATACCAGCGAGAAAAAAAGATGAGACAGTAAAAAAAGTTTCTCAAAGATGACATTTCTTTAAGTTAGCCTACATTCACTGCAAATCACTTCTTTCTTCATGGGTTTTTACCTTTGTTCTTAAAAATTACATATCCCTAAGAAAAAAGAAAGCAGTAACACTTCTAAATAAATAATCAGGACTTGATGTACTGCCAAGGGTTTATATTAAAGGCTAGGAAAATGATTAGCATAATTAAAATAAATTTGGAGTTTGCATATGATGCTTTTTATGTTATAATGTTTCTTTGTGCATGCTTTTTCTGGGTTAAAAAAAAAACTAACAAAGGGAGAGATAATTGGCAGGGCATTAAGCTCAGTAATCATAAAGTAATGCCAGGCTGAATGATTTTCTTATTGTCCGAATAATTATTACATGACTAGTTGCTATTTCATGGCCTCAGTCAGGGCAAAGGTGCTTCCAAGGTTTCCCTTCCAAAGCCATGAGCAGTTGAACAGATCCTTTAAGCTCTTTTTGGGAAAAGAAATAGCCTGTCGCCATTAATTTTATTAATATTATTTCCTTGTTGGAAGAAAGCAAGTGGGAATATGATTGCTGTGGTCAATGTAGGTTCAGAGCAAAATCCCAGGCTGTTGGTTTTTGTAATGCACAGATAAAAATCAAATAATTAATTCCATTGTCAGCCAGCTGCCACACATTCAGTGAACATAATGATCCCAATAAAAGGGAAGGGCTTGTGTTTAGTGCCCATAAATATGAAATTCCTTTTCATGCACTCTGAACAGAAATTTGAAAGAGTTTCAGACTTCTCTTGCACTATCCCCTGGGTTTATCCTGATTTACTCTCCCCAGTTTACTAAGCTAGGAATATTTTGTCAAATTAAGACTGAAGATCATGTTTCCAAATATAACCTCTGAAGTTACTTGGAAATGCAGGCAAAGAAACCAGTAAATGCAATCTGAGATGATCTGCAGACTTTCACATACAAGTCAAAGCAAATGTAGCAAGTGTCAAGGTAAATAATTAAATATGTGAGGTTACTTGTAATGCAGTTAAAAAATTTGAGTAGGTTGGACTAATCATAAATTCCCATCCTTAATTCTTTGGGTTTTGGCTTTTGTACCTCTAAAGTTTTGGAACACATCTCTGTCCTGACCAGCCCTGATAAAAATCTGTGGTATGGACCTGGCTATAAATTCCTACTGGTAGGGGGAAGAGCAGTATTTTATCTCTTCAGATCAACCTTAAATTGCATGGTCTTTAAACCTCCTGTGGGCCTGTGCTTCTCACTTGGTACTACAAATTTACTGTTCTCTTCCAGAATACCTGTATAAAGCTGCAGCATTTGGCTTAAGCATCAACTAATCCTCAGTGACAGAACAAAGTCCATAATAGAGGTAGAGGTCTGCAAAACATCATCGTTAAAAATTGCTTTTGCTTTGGCCATGTCTTCGCTCCATCAAAGAGCATAAATTTCTGCATATTGGAATCATAACTTAAAAGTGGCCACACTGATTTTTGTTTCTTTTAATTCAGAGAAAGAAAATTGCAGTCAAAATAAATACTTATGTGACAAGTTCTAGCACAAAACACGTTTTACAGCAGAGATATAAACCCTTGAAAAATGTTGTCTAATGGAAACAATGGCAGCTCATTAACTCTATGAAAGCTGGCGAAGGTGCTGGAGAAAGAGCTGTAACAAACATAAAGCAGATGACAATAACTCCCATGAGGTCTGTTTGAAGTGGGCATTACTACTGTCCGGGGCTGTTTATGTTTTGGCATACTGGCATTCTGAAGGAGTTGATCAGTTAAGGCCAGTCTGTTAATAGCAGTAAGAACCACATATTTAGCATTCAGTGCAGCATAATTTTTTTAAGTTAAACATAGCAAACGACAGGACAAAGCAAACATCAAATCAAACAGGAGAGAACCCCCTGTGTACATCTGCTTGCCCAAAACATTTGTTCCTACGTAAACCAAACTAAAATAGTAAATTTACAGTTATTTTCTCACAAGTTAACAGAACCTTGGATTAGAAAACGAATGCCAAGTTGAATTCCTAAACAGCCTTAGCTTTTTCTGAGTCTTAAAGCATTGTTGACTTTGCTGTGCAAACAATACAATTCAGACTGTAACTCTAATTAACAGGAGCTTCTGGGTGCTCAGCCTTTTTAAAAACATGACAGCACCTAAAAGTTTCAGCTCAGATATTAGATATTGTCAGGGAACAGATCGCTCCTCCTTACATTTATGGGCTGTCAAAAAGTTATGTGCCACGTTGGAACCTCCCTAATCTCTGAATCAAAGTGAATTTCATGGAGCACAGAAAGCTACCAGATTTAATGTTTAGGGGCAAATTTATGAGCTACAGAGATGTTTCCCATATTCTGCTTTGCACACTTGCCTTGCTATCTTTGTTGCCATAAAAAGTAAAATGTTCATTCTCCTCCCTAAAGATGGGCCTTAATCTGAAATCCCGTTTGAGGGAAACTTTCCAGGGACTTCACTGGGTTTCTGACCAGGCCTTATCTGAGCAACAAAACTGCTGCTCACTCACGTGTTAATAAAGGTATATTTGATGCATATGTGTTGCAGCTGCAAAAAAAGTCAAATGCCACTCTTGCTTCCGTGGTGACCGAACTCCATCATCTGTTTAATGCCAATGATTTTAGTGTATTTTTTGTTACCACTGAAAATCCACTTGGAATTTTTGCAAGGTAAGACATTAGATCTGTCCAACATTTCAGTACCTGTGAGGTAGGTGTTGTGTGAGGAGTTGATGAAATAGTGTGACAGTGGTTGAGACATGTCTTCATTTAAATCCAGTTTCTCAGGTGGAACGACACCGTTCTCTTCTCCACTCAGATACCGCATAAATCCATCCACGGATATCTGTCCTGAGAGAAACACATACCCAGGGAAAGCACCAATTAATTTAAACTACAGATTCTGTGACATGCAGATAAATTCAATATAGACTTACACAAAAGTGTGTAAGACTACATAACCATCAGCCTGGCTTTCACCTAGTTATCCAATATTCTTTTATTATTACTACCTCATTTTCAGTCATACAAGTCGCTGGTAACACACATCCCCTTACCTGTAACAAAGACAAATCACTTCATAATCAGCATCTACATAAAATCAAGAGCATGGGCTGACCAGAGTTACAGTGAAAATAGATTTAAGCCCATTAAGGGGTCTTTGGGGGACAAAACAAAGCACACTTTCCAGGAGAAACCAAGAAGCCTTCTACAGACACAGGTAACTCTGGCCTCTTTGGAGTTTGGTTCAATGTGTGTATGAACTACCTTTCATGTGGGAACTAAGCTTTATTTTGTAATTTTTATATTTGTCTTCTAAATGATATCTCACTGCAGTGCCAACATAAATGAACATTTCATATGCTGCTGTCAAATTAGAAAGCTGAGTCCTCTCCTCAGCTCAAATATCCCCATTCATCTCAGTGGAGCTATTCTTACTACATCAGGAGGAATTTGGCTATCAGGCGTTCTGCATAAAGGTGACTTTAGGGTGTCGAATTGTACATTTAGACTAAAAAGAAATGCAGTAGTCTAAAAGTGAAGATTATTGCTTAATTGAACAAATTTGAGACATTTTTCTTTGCCTGGTATTTTTTTCTATTTTATCTGAATTTCATCTGTTTACTCAACCACATATCTTCAGTTATTTCAGCACCTAAAACAGGTGTTCTGTACCTCTGAACTACATGTTTGGTGACTCCCAACAATGAGAAATTCTTACCTCTTGTGCCCAACCCAAAATATTCTGCACAGTCTGTTAAAGAAAAATCTCATTTGCCTGTTGATAGCATTGAAAATTTAAAGATTTCAGTTCTACTCCTGACTTTGCTAGTCTCTTCCTTTCAGGACCAAACCCTTTTAATACTAAAATATATAAACTTATACATATTTTTCTAGAATGCTAAGGAGCAGACAAAACTGCCTTTTTCTTTTTTTTTTTTCCTTTCTTTTAAAAGCTAAGAACCACATGATGCAAATACTGCATCTTGTAAAAATGTAAAGAATTTACTTAAAATTTGTGTTTGGACCTGATTTGGCTCTTGCTCAGAGAGGAAAAGATAAAACAGCTGTAAACATGTGCATTAAGTGCATATCCTTATTTTCATAACAACCCAGGACTGGTAGCATTAAACAGACTTATTCATAAGAGAAGAAATGCAGTAACAATATAGAGCAATGCAATTGTCATTCATTCTTATGACAACAACTTTAAGTGGCTGGAAAGAAAAACATCAAGTCCATCCCCTATTTTAAGGCTGTAATCTGAGTGCAATCCTGTCAGGCTCCACAGCTGCTTTGTTATAGGGTAAGTAATCATCCAGAGATGGAGTCCCATATACTTTTCTTTCCAGAAGAAAAAATGTAAGAAGGTGACAATCAGGGAAAAAAAAAACACCACTGAGATTTTTCATGAAACTAAAGGTTTAGGAACAAGCTTTCCACTGCCTCAATCTACCAGAGAATGCCAGCAGTACTAGGTGCCATCATGGAGTTAGCTTGACCTAAAATCCACCTAAGAGATCACTCTGCACCAAGTTTACTGGGTTATAGGTAGAAAATATGTTGTGTATGCATACCAAGTGAAATAATAGAGGGAAAAACAGTTAAGATCCGAATGGGATAGCTGCCACTCACATTTTGTTACACAGATAGGTTGGTTTGTGCACATGTAGTTTTCAAAGTGATCTTAATGTTCTAATCCTGAGAGTGCACCTGACAAACAGGGGCCTTGATGTTCAGAGGGAGTGGTCCTCCTGTGCATTGCTGCTGGTGTTAACACACATCACAGTGAGCATTATTGCCACATATAATGAGGCAGCCCCTGAGTTATGCACTTGTCTGAGCTCACGGCTCTAGAACGCCATTTCCCCTATCACAATTAAACAGCCAGCATTGCAGAAAGTGAAGCAATTTGCAAATTCAATTACAGCCAATACTGCACTAGCGAGAGTCTTTCTGCAGAATGGAGATGGCAGATGTCAAAGGGGCTTTGTGTCCTGTATAGTAAAGAGTAGATTGTTTGTGACCAATGTCAATAATATTCTGAGGCCAATGACAGAGAGGACGATATTTGGTGGAAGTCATCCAAAAAAATTAGTATCAATGAAGTGGTAAGATTTCTTCTCTGTTTCCTTAAACATATTACACCTTTACACAGACACTGGCAAGAAAAAATAATATGTGCTCAGTTGTTTCGATTACAGTTGTCATCTTTTATCTTTGGATTTATAACAGAAAGATTTAATAGTATGCTTAGGTATAAAAAGTTAGAGAGACAAGAAACCCATAATGCAAAGAGAACAGAAACATGACAGATTCACATTTTTTCTTTTTCTGGCTTTTTTTATTAAAATTATCTTAGCCCTAAAATTTTGATGAAACTTCAAGACATATCTATTGTGCTGTAGAGTTAATTGGCTTGTCTTTTTCTCTCACCACTGCCATGTTAAATTTGATCTGATGTCTTCTTCAGATGGAACTCACATCTGTGTAACCACAGCAGAAGCCATGTCAGCAGCTACAGCCCTCAGCGAGACCCTTCTGTAAGCTTCTTGTGCTGTTTCTTGCCAGCACAAGAAATTTATTTTTCTTCCCCTTCAAATGCCTCTTCTCTAATTTACCTGATTAATTACAATTTTCCTCCCTATGGGGTCACTCAGTAGTGCTTTACTAAAACACTTAAAACGAGCACAAACATAAAAATGCCTCCTTTTTCCTAAGGTACCTGGCCAATTGAAATGTTCAACACAAGTCACTCAGTGCCACTGAGACACCTCCTGCTGAAGAGGGCAAGAGCTTCCTCATCTTCCCCTCTCACTCTGTCCTCCTTCCCTCACACTCTGCACATTTTCCTCTCATACTTTTCACATTTCCCCTTCACACATGGCACATCTCCCCTCACTGCATTTTGCCCCTCACTCTTAGACCCTTTTCCCCCCTCACACTTTGCTGTTTTTCCCTCACACTTTCCACTTTTCCTCCTATTTTGCACTTTTCCATTTGAGTTTTTCCCTTCACACTTTGCCCTATTTCCCCTTACACTTTCCATTTTTCCTTGACATTTTGCACTTTTCCCCTTACACTGCACTTTTCCTGCCTCAATTTGTCCTTTTTTCCTCACGCTTCACACTTTTCCCCTCACACTTTGCCCATTTTCCCCTCACATTTAGTACTTCTTCCCCTCACATTGTGCACTTTCCCCCTCACTTTACACTTCTTTCTGCACTTTTGCCCTTTTGCACTCTTCACATTTTTCCCCTCTCACTTTGCTTTTTCCCTCACATCTTCCACTTTTCCTCCTCATATTTTGCACTTTTCCCCTCACACTTTGCACTTTTTCCCCTTATACTTTGCGCATTTTCCCCTCACATTTCACACTTTTCACCTCACACTTTGCATATTTTTGACTTGATTCCCAAAGCACGCATAAGTGGCCAGCTAAAGTTTAGTGCCAGCCAAGCAAATAACAGATCCATTTTAATGTTTTTATTGTGCACTGGAACAGGTCTGAAAATATAAGAACAAGTGTGGAGGAGAAATACAAAAGTGTCTATTGTTTTCTTAGTCATAGACATTCCCAATACTGCAAAATTAGAAATGTGTAGTTGCACACTTGCATAAAGATTATCTAGACTTTGATCTAACTCTATAAATGTACCCAAATTAAAAACTTCCAAGAGTTTGGAAAGGCACTGCAAAGTCTGGAAATGTCTCTCTATGCCTCTCTCTGTATTTGTTAACTCATGCAGAAATATGTGAAGCAGTTTCTTAGTGAATTGTTCCACAGAACACCTCAAACTGCTGCTCCATGCAGCCTTCAGCATGGTGGAATTGATGCAGGGATTAAAAAAGAACCACCATACTGGGAACCAAGTGAAGTCAACAGAATCTGGCAATTTTTCATTACAATTTTATAGGAAGGAGAAGTAATTTCCTACTAGAAGAGGAATATGTTGAGAAGTTCTATTGAATTTCCTGATTGTGATCAGCTTCATTGTATGAAACACGGGAAGTGTTTGTGCAGCTTGATCTTTTTCTGCATCCCTGGCTCCACCTAATTGCTCCTAAATAGTTACAAGGGAGGGAAAAAGAAAAATGAAAGCACAAATTAAGTGGCAATTTCTATGCGTTTCACAATAATTCCTTATTAACTCCAGCTACATGATCCCATACCTTTCAAGATCTAGTACAATTGATTAAATACATTAACATTCCTGATTAAGAGAAAACCACATAAAAAAGTAACTCCACAAGTATCAAGTATCAAGGCTCCTTTCTAGTCACGATTTGTCTGCTTTAAATACAACAGAAGCTACTTCTATTATCCCAGATCCTTTTTCCTGGCATCAATCTTCAGGCAGGTGACACACTTCTGGCAAATGATCTATCGAAAATTCACAGAATTTCCAGGGGTAATTATGTGAATCCTCTTTTCTATGGTTTTTAGATCTTGTCAACATTCATCAATCAAAATATTTTCTTCTGTAGCTCCTAAGATCTGGAATATCCCCATCCCTGGGAGATGGTGATCACACATTTGCCATGAAGCAGGAATTCCAGCCAGCTGAAATGGTTGACAGGATGGACTGTACTTGGTGAATATACTTCTCAGAGGCTCCTCTGTTTGAAAACTTACTGTGTTATCACAAGACTCTTCTTAGTCCTGTTTGACCATATCCAGAGAACTGGGCACATTTCTCCTGTGGGGCCTGTGACAGTGCTAGGGCAGACACAGGAGACAGCCTCATGGAAAACTGTTCCCATGCAGTTTCCAGGGCTGTAAAAAGCACAGGTTGCTTTTGACAGAGAAATCCTTCTCCCACTGCCTAATAAGACACAGGGTACTTGAC